TAGAAAGTGTCCAGAGACGAGCGACAAAATGGGTGATCGGCCTCCGCAACAAATCATATGAGGAAAGACTGAAGAAATTAAGTCTTTTCACACTTAGTTACCATAGTCACAGGGGAGACCTCATCACCGTCCATAAGATCCTAAATGACCAGGCCCACCCTAATAAGAGCATCCTGCCATTAAGTGATTATAGGCTTCCACGAGGTAACCCGCTAAGGATAGCACACCAGGGACCAAAGACTCGAGTGCGTTCGCATTTCTTCTCGCTTCGAGTTTGCCGTCTCCGGAACGCTTTACCGGCGGCCGTAACTACAGCGCCATCTGTGGAGAATTTTAAGCGGAAGCTTGACAATCATGCAGAAATGCATGGTTTGTGTCTCAATGGCTTATCCTCTTAAAATTTAAAACCACATTGTCAACGGATAAGCATACAAGCTAAATCCCCACGACCCGCCCTGTCTTCTCCCACTGTACCGACTACTCTACCTTTTCTATCTTTCTTATTTCACCTTTATTATTTCACTTATCTCAACCTATATTATCTACACTACAACCTATTATTATTCTACTTTTATGACTACACCGAATGACCAGCAGGTGTTAGGTCAAACTCCATTCACGGCAGCAGCTGAGTCCTAACATACTGCACACTACAAACCACAATCTTGACCAATCCTCGCACCACTCCTCTTGGAGTCTACCAGAGCTAAAGCAGTCGAGTGGCGGGATTTACTACGCATAAGTTCACCGAAGATCTGGAACCCATACCTTACAATCAAGAAGCGAGCTCAAAGAAATCACTGGTTTATACTAGTGGATTTATACTGGATATTGGATCATAACCTCAGGACGGCCCGTGACATCTAAAGCACGACGACTTGCTCCTGACAAACTGAGACTCAGTAGAAATTAGTTCGACCATATGCTCACCCTTGGCATCATTCGGCCATCGAATAGCCCATGGGCATCCCCATTGCATATGGTACCGAAAAAGGATAGCAACGATTGGTGACCCACTGGTGATTACCGGCGGGTGAACGCCAAAACAACCCCCGATTGCTATCCATTGCTTCACATAAACGACTTGACGGCAACATTATCTGGCGCAACTATTTTCTCCAAAATCCACTTGGTTAAGGCGTATAACCGAATCTCGATGGCACCAGAAGATATTCCGAAAATGGCTATCATTAAGCCTTTCGGACTTTCTGAATTTCTATGTATGCCATTCGGTCTAGGGAATGCAGCACAAACATTCCAACGCTTCATCGACGAAGTATTCAGCGGTCTCGACTTTGTACACGCATACGTAGACGTCTGCTCCATTGCCAGTTCAGATAAGGAAACTCACCTTAGACACTTGTACTTGGTACTCGAAAGGTTACGCCGACATAGTGTTACCATCAATATTCAAAAGTGTCAGATAGGCGCTGACTCACTCGACTTTCTGGGCCACACCAATGACTTTAAGGGTGTTCGCCCACTGGCTAGTAAAGCTGAGGCGATACTGAACTTTCCAGAGCCACAGACAGTGAAAAATCTGCTCACTTTTAACGGCTTGATAAGTTATTACCGACGGTTTTTTCCCAACTGTGCTTCTCTGATTCAGCCATTAGCAGACCTTCGATGGAATAACAAGTTCATCGAACTTGACGTGTATGCTCAGAATGCTTTCCCTCAGGTTAAGAAAGCTATCACGGAAGCCATACTCTTTATAAATCAGGATCCAACGGCACGGTTAAGTATCTCGGTTGATGCATCAGACACTTCAATCAACGCAGTTCTGCAACAACTAGTCAATAAAGAGTGGCAACCACTCACTCGAGGAGCCTTCAATTAGCAGAAACGAAGTACAGTACATTCGGCAGAGAACTTCTGGCTATGTACTGTGCTATACGTCATTTTCGACATTTAATGGACGGTTGTGAATTCATAATTTTTACTGACCACAAACCTCTGACGTACTCTCTGAACTCAACTTGAGATTAGTATTCACCTAGAGAATCACGAGAAGTGGGTTACGTTTCACAGTTTACATCGGATATTCGCCATATATCCAGAGTGAACAACACTGTGGTAGATGTCTTGTCGCGCATTTGTTCCCTGACCCAAATCGACGGCATAGACCTCGTGAAACTGGCCTTTCTTCAGAAAGAAGATACTGAGCTTCAACAGGAGTTGTCGAAAACAACTCTGCAATTAGCTGAGAAACCATTAAGTGCAGGAAACGACACTTTTCTATGTAACATTTTCACGAGAACTCCTCGCCCCATCGTGCCTAAAAGCTATCGCCGTAATGTCTTCAATACTTTGCATGGCTTATCCCACCAAGGTATTCGAACTACCGTCATGCTCGTAACTAGTCGGTTTTGTTGGCCTGGTATTAATAAAGAAGTAAGGGAATGGGCACACAAGTGCTTAGCTTGCCAAATGTGCAAAGTAGTAAGACACACCCAAAGCCCTCTTGGTAATTTTCTTATCCCTGATGCTCGTTTCGAAGACGTTCATGCAGATCTGGTTGGACCCCTTCCAGAATCCCATGGATATACCTACATCTTAACCTGCATCGACCGTTTCACACGATGGCCTGAAGCAATACCCCTCAAGGATATATCTGCTGAAACAGTCGCACGCGTCTTTGTAGAACGATGGATCGCGAATTTTGTATGCCCATCCTCCATAACAAGAGATCATGGGCGGCAATTCAAAAGTGGCTTTTTCTTCGCCCTGACAAAAATCATAGGTTGTATGCGTTTCAGCACAACAGCCTACCATCCTCAAGCTAATGATATGGTAGAGCGTCTGCACCGACAGTTGAAGGCTGGGTTATCAGCTGCAAACAGTTCACGTTGGGCTGAATCACTACTGTTAGTTCTCCTAGGGATACGAAACACCTTGAAAAATGATGCTGGTTATACTGCGGTTGAGCTAGTATATAGCACAACACTACTACTGTCAGGTGAGTTTGTTTCTCTTTCTAGCTTCCCACCAGCGGTAGATCATGCCTCATACGTCAGCAGGCTTACAAACGCAATGCGTTCAGTTAAACCTGCTCTCCTTCGACCACAGTCCATAGACGTCTTTGTTCACCCGTGTTTGAAAACTCCTTCAAGTGTATTTGTTCGTCGTGACGCTGTACGCACGTGCGTCGCCCGCTGGAACCACATACTACGGACCACATGTAGAAGAAATCACTAGCACGGCGAAAGGTACTAAACCTTCTGCCCAGCTCTCAAAGAAAACGCGTTCTGGACGAAACGTGAGATTCCCAGAACATCATACTTATATCACATAACTAAGTGGTGCGGTTCACCCAATTCTTATTCGTTTGTGGTATTTATTTACTTTTTTTCGGACAAGTCAAATTTTTTGTATTGCATTCCGCAACACGAGTAAATACTTTCCCACAACAGTACATGTTACATCCACTAAAAAATTAGATATATACTTTTTTCGACGTTCTGTTTTCCACATTATTTTACTGTATGGTAGATGCATATCCTTTTTCAAACGTTACTTTTAGTTCATTTTCCTCAACAAGGTTCTTTGCATTCCTGTTTTCCAGGTGCAACAGGCACTGGACAGGAAGCAAATGAAGCACGAGATCCAACGGACAAACATTAACGAAGCGATGTACAAACACCCTATTAGTACAGATAGACGACCAGTAGGCACTACATCAGGCCAATCGGAAGAGTTTTTACCGATGGGAAAACCGTTGGGTTATTTTACTTCCTGCTGGTTTTGTCTTAGTGTCCTCACAATCCCACTAGGGAGGGAGTGGGCTGTAGTGGTAGGTAATTCCTGAGAATTATTAGCCACGGCATTCATCACTGAACATTTGATGCTGACCCTCACTGTTTAAGTCAACTTGTTTAGCTGAAGGCTTCCGGTCAAGCATCCACGCCATTTGTTACTCCGTCTTGTCACATTCGTTCGTTCGTGCACGAACGTGCACGATCCATAGCTAGCTAAGCAATCATCTCACACTCCGATTTGTGACAGAAATCAGTCAGCTCCCCCTTTTTTTCCAATACACTGTCATAATTCACTGGTACATTTCAAGGTTCAAATGAAATTTTGAACGATTGTCCTCTACCTCGTTAGATGCGCAGCAAAGTTGTCGGTAAAGTTTCTTGCCTCTTGGTGGTGATAGGACAGCCAGTTAGTTGGATAGGCATGTGTTTGGGAACTTACGGTGATACTCGTCTTTAATGTCCCATGACCGGAATCGATGGCCTTTGAAAGAGTGAGCAGCTTATTGTTCACAGCTGAACACTTTGGAAGGACCGCGTTTCTTTTTGTGTCTGACCATATGTTTATAGTCCCTGCATACGTCTGTATTCGTGAGGTAAATTAGTTGTGACTGTTTCAGCGTATATTTGTATCAGATACATATCGCCACCGCCATTTGCAGCAGTCGAATTTGAGAGGCAAGTCACTTTAAGTGGCTGCAATACAACGTTTTCAGATGATAGGTGTTATCACGACTTTACTGTTTACTCCTGATGGTTTTAGTGAGTACCTCAACTGCAAGCAACTGCGTTGGATGTAGTATTCACCTGGATGTGTAGACACTAGTACTCCAAGCAAGGTGACTTCTGCAGCCGAAATTCTGGAAAACGAGTAAAATGTTTTCGGGCCATTAGGCAATATTATTTCAAGCTTTCTTGAACTCACCACCCTATGGGACGTAATCTACAGATTCACGTTCCACCTATGGTCATTTGCTGCTATATTTCCTAACAACAAGAGTTTGCTGTTGTGAACACGGTTAGGTGAAAGGTCAACGCGCTTTGAGAATGAAAGCACCAGTACCCTTCAAAAACGAAATGGAACACATTTAGTGAAATCTGGTAAAAAGCACCATGTATATGACGAAACACTGAAAGTAGAGTGAAAATATCAAATACTACGGGAAAGAACGAGATCTTTACAGAGATTTCAATATGTTCAACATAAGATACTCAGTTCACCACTACTGAAATCAATCTGCATACCGCCAGGCTTGAATATGTACGTTACTATCATGTGCTCCTCTGATTTCTTCATGTCTTTCTAATTGCTATGTTTGATCATTCTCGGTTTTTCGTGGTTGCCAAAGTTCTAATTAGTGCATTCTTAGTAATTTTCATCTGCATGGCTTGGATATTTATTTCATATAAAACTGCCTTTGCAAGAAGTGCTGTTTCATGGTCATTTTCTTTCACTAAGTTAGCTCCTTTGATTTTTGGTGGAAGAATACCTCATTCCTGAGACAGACTTATTGTTAGCTATTATTTGCACATAAATCTTCAGTAGATCATGTAGCATACTGTAAAACTTTCAAACAGATCTGTTAGTGGATTATTACCTATAGAGGTTAGCAACATATTCGACATTGTCTAAATACGATCCCTTTTATGCATGTCAGCTCATTTGTTCCTGTGTACTTGTGAGTGTCCAACCTCTTATTTCGTGCACGCTGATTTCCTTAAAAGTTTACAATATATATGTTGTAAACTTGTTGTGTAAATATTTATACTGAATTAATCGAATTAAGAGAAAAAATCCTACTATAGTCGTACCAAAATGTTAAGCCGTTAACTCATGCAGTGCAGATTGAGGTTCTAGTTAAACAAAACTTGTAGTCTTTGGATGTGTCGGTAAAAAGACTCTAGCGTTCCCACATTTCAGTGTTATATATGGGCATGTAGTAATTAAATCCACTGTAACCGTGTAGTTCTTTATTAAATTACCTATCCCTTGTCTCCTTGGAACTTTACCATATTTGTTGTGTAACGAACTGGGCGCTTTATGCATCTTTTGAACATCATACAGACAAATACCTGACAAGTGAATGCATCACTTATAAATTGTGAGAACTGCACATCTGTTTTTGGTTAAATGAACGTCACATGTCATGATTAGAATGAAAATAGCATATAGACGTAAAGGAAGGTTAAATAAAAATTAATCAAGCGAATGTGTGGGTAAATAGAAATCTAGTCAAAAATATAAAAGCACTCTCTGTAAAGTGATTCTGGCACAGTTAGTTAATTTCGATTAAATTCCTATGTGAAAAGGCTTTAGTTGGCGTATTGCTTTTGTGTATCGCTCTAAGTTATTATAAAGAAGTTCCCCAAAGTTAATTTACTAGTAGATAAAAACAGGAAAAATGACCACTGGGACAAAGATAAATAGATATGCAGTTGTTAAATAAAGTTGGGAATAATGATAAGTTGATTGTGTAAATACAGTTTTTATTTCTGATCCACTTCCTAATACCATGCTGATTTCAAGTTTCCCAGTTGTACTACTGAATTCTTACCTAACTGCTATCCACAGCTGCTAGCAGGTGACTCGTAAACTGTATAAATATGAGGTGAAAGATACACCTCACTGCTGTGGTAAAAATGACTGTTACAGAGAGTTGGGGACTTCGTGGTATGGATACAGCCCGTTTTTATCACGTCATTTATTTCATTTAGACCAGGCTTTGACATTTATGGTATACGGTTACTCTTCAGGTAGCTATGTACGACGGTTCTTGTATGAGGTGTGTGGTCTTCAAATGATTCGTACTGTGCAAATGATTCTGTAAGCCGCACATCCTTATAATAATTTGTCAGGAATTTATTTTCCACATAAAATTCACAGTATTTATATGCATGCAAAAAGAAACGACTGATTAAAAGTTTTATTACTATAATTTTAACATAGTATGACAATAGAACGTACTTTCCTGAATAAACAGTACAAAAGTTCACTTCATGATCAGTTTATTTAGCTTTGAATTTAGACTAGAAGTAAATTTCTCAAATCAAAGATTAGAAACAACGTAGGCTAGCCATGTTATCGATTCAGGCTATAAAAAGATGTATGTGCTAACGTGTTTTTTAATCCTAATGAACTCAGTTTGTTAAGTTCCCTATTTTATGTAATTACTACTATGTAATCTTTTTTCCAACTATTTCATAATAGCGTCGTATACAGAAGGATAAACATTGGATTCTGATAATATGGGACGATTGAAAGTTGAAAGAAGTACAGTACAGTATTACATAAATCGGATGAACTCTTTATATTCTATTAAAAATCCTGAAGAGAGACGTAAGTTTTATCAAGTTGTTTTTGCATTATTTTTGTGAAAATACTACGAAATTTTCTTTTTTCACATTGAACATTGTGACCTAATCGTATTGGAACTACTTAATTTTGGGAATACGGTATATATATTGGATAGTGTTTGATCAAATACAATGCCAGGCAGGGCAGCGCTGATTCCTGACTGAAGTGTGCCAGTCTAAGTTACTGCATGCAAACATATGAATACGGATAAAGTTAAAGTATTAAAATGAGAAGCATATGGGGAAAGACAATGACTGAATTAGTACCAATACATGGATTGGAAGTTTCTGCTTTTAAGAATTATTGCATCTACTCCATTGTAGTCGGTTGTAACTTAATTCATCAAACTAAGCAAAAGCTGACACGGAGATGTGTATTTGTGAAAAGATTCTTCTAAACGGTTGGTCTGTGATGCAGACTTCTGGAAAGCTTCACCGAAAGTGGGAAATAGTTACTCAAAAAGAGATGGTAGCATTCGCTGTAACTCATGTCGGTGGTTCAGTGGTGGAATGTGCGCCAATCACGCACGTGGTTCGGATTACAGTTCCCAGCCGACACACTTAAATGTCGCTTAACCGGTAGTAAGTCTTGTAAAGAGGAAAGGTTGGGCGTGAGGCCAGGAATTTCACTCTGTTAAAGCTTAAAGTTTGAAGCCCCTTGTTTCACTGGGAACGCTAAGGAACTAAATAATAATTCGTTGTAATTCATTAGTCTAAATATGCTTCTTCCAACAAGCAGGTTACCGGTTTTTGAATACTTAAGTGTGTAAAGCTAGTTAATATTATTAGATGTCACAAAATAGGTCTGCTCATTCACTGTCAGATGCGAAAACTTGTTTTCATTTGTTGAGATAATACTCAGTAAAGCGAAATCCCGATTAGTCTTCTTTGGAGACCCGTTTTTTAATTTCTCAAGAGTGAACATAAATGAATGGTTTTTAAACTGGAAACCTATTCTATAATCTGATAGGAGGACTGTGATAGATTCTAGATCCACGTAAGATAAGTTAGTTTATTATTATTCCCTTGGGTTCCGAGTAAAATATAGGGATTCAGTAGTACATCACTTTACTTAGTTCTCTGGAGTCTTTTATTTGCCTGACTGTATGATTGCCCAGAAACTTTCACTTCCTCCTCAAGCGATCTCTTCCATTATTAGAAGACAGAGATTATCTGAAAACTTATGTGATGTATTTGCGCTATACATTTCGAACAATCTGATCCCTCACACATTCACTTGTCAAGTCGATATATATGAAAAAAATTAAGGGCAATTAAATTTAACAGTGACAAAAAAAAGGATTTAAGACTGATCAACACAACGTTTGGTAATCCAATCAAATAAGGATTACCAAGGTAGGTTAAGAGTAATAATAAACTGTTTCTGAATACACAGGAGGGAGTGCTAAGTTTATGAGTAGCTATAGCCTGAGAGTATTTCAATAAGCAAACAATGCAAAGCAGCGGGACCTGATGGATTAACTCCAGAGGTATTTAAGTACGGTGGAGACAGTTTACTGTCTGCGTTAACTGAGGTTCTAGGCAGCGTCTTGGAATCAAAGGAAGTCCCATCGGGTTGGTGTAAGTCACTGATCATCCCGATATGCAAGAAGGGAGACAAGTCTTCTTGTGATAATCACAGAGGGATTAGCTTGACTAATATAGTATCTAAAATCCTAGGCTCAATAATACTGCGTAGACTAAGTGGTGCTCGGGAGACACAAACATGAGAAAACCAGGCAGGTTTTAGGCCAGGTAGAGGGTGTATTGATCATATCTTCACCCTTCGACAGATTCTAGAACAAAGGCATTCCTACCGGCGTCCGACAATCATTATTTTTCTTGACCTAAAGGCGGCATTCGATTCTGTCGACCGGGAGGTTCTCTGGCGATGCTTGACTGTAAAGGGAATGTCGAGAAAATACATAGCACTGATTAAGGCACTCTACTCGTACTCATGCAGCCAGGTGAGGGCTTATGGCGAGTTGTCATCCGAAGTGGTGACGACTAGTGGCGTCCGTCAAGGATGCTCATTATCCCCATTCCTATTCAACTTCATCATAGACGTACTAATGGACTTAACCCTAACACACTTCAGCGACTCAGGGATTGACTTTTTACCAGGGAATAATCTTGTTTACGTAGAATATGCAGATGATATAGTCCTCCTAGGTGAAGACGCTGAAAAATTGCAGTCTTCTGAACACCTTGAGCTGCAATCTGCGGACGTTTCCCATGCGATTCACTCCCGCCAAATGTAAGATGATGTTACAGAACTGGACTACACTAACTGCTAGCTTAGAGATAGGGAGTGAAGTGGTAGAGCACGTTGACCGCTTCACTTACTTGGGAAGTACCATCAGCCCCAACGGGTTGATCTCCGACGAAATCTCAGCACGAATACAGAGGGCTAGTTTCGCATATGCCAGTTTACGCCGTCTCTGGCGTACACGTGATATCCGACTATCGACCAAAGGGCGTGTGTACTGCTCAACAGTCCGCTCCGTCCTCCTTTATGGCTGTGAGACCTGGTCACTCAGAGTGGAAGACATGAAAAGACTAGCTGTCTTTGATCATAGGTGTCTGCGTTCTATCGCCTGGGTGAAGTGGTATAATAAGGTGAGCAATATTGAGGTTAGGCGTCGAGTGCTAGGTAAGGATGGGAAATCAGTCGACGAGACTGTGAAATTACATTGACTGAGATGGTTAGGACATGTGCTACGTATGCCTAGTCATCGCCTTCCTCGACGGGCAATGTTAGCTGATATAGGGCCAGGCTGGAAAAGAGCTAGCGGCGGTCAAACCAAAACATGGCACCAGTCAATGAAATCCACAACAGTTAGTCTAAGTCACGTAGGGAGATGTAGACTTCCTGGTTGGGGTCCTCGGGACGGTAAAAACCAATGGTTGGAAACAATTGGTGACATGGCTCAAAATCGTTCTCAGTGGCGCAGATGCATCCACTCCTTGTGACTTATGATTTCCAATGAAACTGTTCGTTCTTCGTTATTACTACTCCTTTGTCTCACACCTCTGCTTACTGTCTATATTATGCATTTCTCCTACTTTCTTCTCTTGCTTTGTGTGCTACATACGACTTGAACTGCCGCACATATGTGCAAAGTTCTATATCGAAAACCGACCGATTTCAATAAGCACCGTTGACCATTTTTATAGATGACCTTAAAGGCTATGTTAACATCAATCGTATGGTTCATCTCAATTCGATGTTTGGCTATAGACGAAGTTGGTAGTCTGACACCTGCGTCTATTGGCTTTTCACAATTCATTTGTCTTTCTAACCATGTCGGGATATGCTCTCCCACCGTCACATGCAAAGCACGATTACTCTTCCTTGTGTGTGTGTACACACACACAAAATTCGGTAAATAGTGTGGGATGTGACATAATCACTTGTGCACTTTTGAGGTTTGCAGTGGAGCATATTTTTAGCTTTTTCGACAATTACAAGCTGGGCTGCATAATAGGTTCTACGGATGATCGAATTCAACCTTTGTCTCAAAGTCCTACTGTTTATTTCCCCGTTATATGGTAATTTGATGAAGACATTTTTCTTAGGGGCGGTATAGGAGGATTTTGAAATACGCCGAGGCTATAGCTATTCATAAACTTACCCCCCCCCCTCCTGTGTATTCAAAAACAGTTTATTATTACTCCTAACCTACCTTGGTAATCCTTATTTGATTGGATTACCGAACGTTGTGTTAATCAGTCTTAAATCTTTTTTTGTCACTTTGTTTAATTTAATTGCCCTTAATTTTTTTCATATATATCGACTTGACAAGTGAATGTGTGAGGGATCAGATTGTTCGAAATGTATAGCGCAAATACATCACATAACTTTTCAGATAATCTCTGTCTTCTAATAATGCTACCCAAATTTCTAAAAGGGACTAATTGTTTTAAATCTCTTCCATGTCAACTCTGCATACCCAACTTGTTGTCTCCCATCGAGGTTTCACTCGAGGATCTGTCTAGCTTGTGATGTCACTCAAAGGTTTCTTCAGCATGTGTCCAATTCATCCCCCTTTACTTCTGCATATATTTATTGGGCAGTAGACTGTTGGTTGGTTCTTCGCCAGAGTTCCTTGTTTCTTGTTGTGTTTCTGGCTGGCAATTTAATCTTTGGTGTGGAGCGAAGGCAACTTTGTTTTAAATAGCATACAGTAATATGGTATAACTAACTCTGAGAAAACCATCAAGTGAGTGATATCACACGTCAGGCCATTGCTCGACTGGAACCCGAATGGGAAGCGGCGAGTTGGTCGTCAGTGCTAGGGTGACATGGAGGAGGTCATGTGAAGAGGAGATGAAGGCATATGGGGACAGACGTGGAGCCAGGTGAAAACGTTGGCAGAGAACCGAACGCGATGGAGACGTGCAGCTGAAGCCCTATGTTCCTCTAGGAACTAAAGGAAACAACAATAATAGTAAACTGGATGACATTTCTATCACAGTTTATTTTTCATGATGTAGTAGTCATCACTATCCATTCTCAAATGAAAGTTGTCAGGTTTCTCAAGTCTTAACTAAAATGACATGCATTCATGTGTTGTTAGCTGTACATTTTCAGTTTCATTTAGTAGACAAAAGTTACACTGAATTCCGCTTTATCCAATTGTTATAAAATTTCAACCTTTTTCCCTCTAAAGTAATAAAAATCCTTACTTAAAACATTTTCCATTTCTTATTTTTTTTTTTATAGATACTTTCGTGTTGAATACTTTTCTATCATTTCAGAAAGATACTTGGCAAGTGGCGCTGAGTCCACAAGTTTGTCGTTGTTTAGAACAGTTATTAAGCTTTGCCAGTGTTGACTCTGTCACTGTTGTCTTAAAAACTTTGTCGAAAAGTTGGGATGAAGTGATCAATAGTAAATTTGCCTATCATCTACTTCATAAAGCGCTAATCAAGTGTCTCACGCCAGAGTATCATGCTGATGAGTTGATTTCCAGTTATGTGGAAAGTTTTTGTACGCATATGAAAGAAAATTTGTCAACTTATGTTGAACAACCGCATACAACGCATACCTGTCGTATATATCCACAGATCTTAGCTGGAGTTCTACTAGAAAAGGATAGTACATCAAGTAATTCCCTTTAACAACAATAATAATTATCACCTTATTTATTTTTTTTAACAAGATACCTATAAGTCTACTGCTACTCAACAGTTCACTCCTTATGATGAGAACTATGCTCAAACACTTACAGATTTGTGTGAAGAGTATTTATTCACAAAAGCATTGAAAGGTATAATCAGTAGTATATATGCTAATTCACAACTGTGTTTAGGCCATGTTAAACATGAATTCCTCTGCCCTTTCACCCAAGTACTACTGCTTATCGCATCTGTTCGTCTGCCTGAGTTACTCAAAAAAAAATATAAAAAGCTTATGAAATATACTGGGTTGTATTCTGCCGATGCAGGAAAAAAGAGTGTTGCAAAAACAAAGTTAGTTTTTTTTAAAAAAAAATGCTGAATATTCTGTTGCTTTCAATTTTATTTTAGCTTGTGTGTGTTTTGGTTTTACTAGCTGATTTTGTAATTCGGTTGGTTGCCTTTCATCAGTTCCTTTTTTTATATAGAGATTTTTGACAAGCATTTTCAAGGCGTCTCGTGTTAGTTAGTGGGCAGTGTCCAACAACGAAACTATCGATTTTTAGATATTGTGGGTTTTTTTATATGAAATTTTGTTTTCATTTTCTAGGGATATTCACTTCTAGTAAAGTTGACATTTATTTCATCCAGTGGTTTGTTCTACAGTGGGAAACGCCTCCATAATCGGTCTGATACGGCCTTGGGTGGGTGGGTGGGTGGGTAGGCTTCGGTCTTCCTCTCAAAATGCTCTCATGTGGGGAGGTGAAAAGTCTTCACAGTGGTGAAAGGACTGTTGCAAACGTCTGGCGCTTACAACTGGCCTGGTGGATGTGCAGGTCTACTTAGGAGACCTGGAAAACCCTGATTCCAAACTTAATGTAGCATATATGGGCTCCAGAGTCCTGAACGGATCGAATGGTATGTGAACTTGTTGAAGTTACCAGAAACCATGGGGATGTAGCCCCTGACGCTGCCCCACTAATTTAATTCGTAGGAGGAGTGGGTTGGCTCTTTAAAACAATTCAATCTGCACCAAAGATAGAACTAGACAAACACACACATTACTTACTAGTGTTCAATGAAAAATATCCATTACAGTCCTACAGGAGGTCAATCGCGAGCGCGGATAGCTCATTTAGTAACGTCTGTGACTGTAGCACTGGGTGACACGGGTTCGAATGTCAGAAGGGATATGAGCTCCTAAGAGGTGGCAGATATGCCTTGCTGACAAGTGCCAACTAGCACAAAACCTAAGTCCAAGGTTTGCTGCCAATTGCCCCCAACCATGTGTAATACCAACAATTCACAGTGCTCCGTAATGGCGAGCCATCTAGTGGCATGGTGACCATATTGCAAACGTGACTGACAGAATTCAATCTACACCAAAGATAGGAATAGACATACACATTACACTAGTTACTGACTCGTGTCCAATCCAAAATGAAGATGTACTGTTGAAGCCCTATGTTCTACTCAGAATCTAAGGGAATAATAATAATAACTATGGAGTTCTATTTTAGAGTAATTCGGTGTCTCATCTTAATAATTGCCTTGTGTGTGTATATGTGTTGCGTATCAGCACACCTTATTATTGTTACTTTATTATTATTTCCTTTAATTCCTAGAGGAACATAGGGCTTCAGCCGCGCGTCTCCATTGCGTTCGGTTCTCTGCTAGAGTTTTCATCTGGCTCCAAGTCTGCCCACATGACCTCCTCCAAGTCACCCTTGGACGACCAACTCACCGCTTCCATTTCCGGTTCCACTCGAGCAATGGCTTGTCTAGTGATGTCACTTGATGGTTTGTTTCCTCAGAGTATGGCCATTTCTTCCTGCCTATTTGTTGCACAATCGGTTCCTGGTTGGTTTGCTCCCACAGGTCCCTATGGCTGATCTTTTCTGACCATCTGATCTTGAGTATTGAGTGAAGACAGCTGTTAATGAAGGTCTGTAGTTTGTTTGAGGTGCTCTTTATGACGCGCCAAGTCTCTGATCCGTATAGTAAGTAGCACTGACTTCACATTGGAGTTGAAAATCCGGATCTTATTTTTGATGCTGAGTACTGTTGACCTCCACACAAACTTGAGAGTAATGAAAGCTTGTCTTGCTTTTCCGATCCTTGCTTTGATATCCTCGTCAGTTCCACCTGTAGTTGAAACGATGCTTCCCAGGTAGGTAAAAGAGGTTGTTTTTTCAGGTTCCTCCCATTTATGCTGATTGTTGTCTGTTGTTGCTGTTGGTGTTAGCCGGGAATCTTCATCACCTCTGTTTTCTCTATGTTCACCTGAAGTCCTATCTTTGATGCTCCTTCTGCCAACTTGTTGCTTTTCACTTGCATATCTTCCAGTTTGTGGGAAATTAGACATATATCATCGACGAAATCCAGATCCTGCAAGTTTTTTGTGTGGGTCCATTTTATGCCTGTTTCCTCATTGCCCGCTGTTTGTCGCATTATCCAGTCTACTGCAATCAGGAAAATCATTGGAGATAGTAGGCAGCCAGCTGTCTTACTCCTGTCCTCACTTCGAAGGATTCCGTAAGTTTCCTGTTGTGAATTATTTGTCATGCAGCATTGTCGTACAACTGTTGGATGAGATGTGTAATTGTCGGTAGACCCCGTAGTGGCGAAGTAGTTGCCAAATCACCTGTCGATAGACGCTGTCGAGGGCTTTTTCAAAGTCGATGAAGTTGAGATAGAGAGGTGACTACCATTCCAAGCTTTGTTCAGTGATGATCCGTAGTGTGGCGATTTGATCAATACATGACTTGTTTCTCCTGAATCCAGCCTGTTCCGGTCGAAGTTTTTCATCCAGGGTGGCGTGTTTGATTCTCTCCAGGATGATGCGGCTTAGTATTTTGTTTGGGATGGACAGGAGCATAATGCCAACACCTTATTATTATTTTGATTTTCCAAAGGTTTAATACTGCCTCCCGATTTTCTTCATTCTGTAGATATCCCAATGCTTACAGTCATCCAGTCGCTGTATACTTCAGTGAACTTCTAATAGGAGTTATGCCTGGATCACATTTCGCTGATTTTCTAAACAATCGTATTTTAACTGAATCGGCAAGCCCAACAGGCGATGGTGTTGCAAATTCTGAATCATTTGCCAATCTTTTAATGTCACATCCAACTGGTAGTTGTGTATTGCGCGCTGTTATTCGACGTTTAGCAAAGTCAGCTGATATCAAAAACTTTTTAACTGTTATCCAATCATGTAAAAGTACTGAGTGGGGATTACGTGGTGCCTTGTCTCATGGTCAGTATAATGTATTAACTGAACTGGCTGATTTATGCAGTAGACATCCATCTGACGAAATTCAACGTATATTCTTGCAGGTAAATACGTCTATGAAGTGATTCTTTTTATTGTCAAAAATTTTCATAATTTTACAGGTTTGATAACGAGCTGACATTAGCTCGAGAATCATGAATTAACCAGGAAGTACTCAACAACGGTCTATCCGTCCCAGTTAAGGACTCGCTGGGGTTCGAACCCAGAAGGACCTTCCGGTTATAAGATGAGGTTGTAGACCGTTCAGTCACTACTTACTTACTTTACTTCGGCTATCTCCTACGGGAGGATGAACCGGCTTCATGAACATCTCGAATCATCGTTGCCCAGGCGCGGCGATCTGATGCAAGGTTTTGCGACAGGGTTATCCAATTCTTGTTCCACAGACGGAGTCCGTAGACGGTTTGTAGCCCCAGGCACTCCATATCAGCCTTGACTGTACCAAGCCATGTTTTCAGCTGTCCACCCCTGCGACATTGCCAAGATGGTAATGGCGAGGGATTTAGAACTGATTTGACCAGATCGTCGTAGCATGGTGAGAGTCGTTTGTAAGAGAGTTCATGAAGTTTCATGGGAATTTGGTACGAGTGATGTCCCCAGAATCGCTCGGCCTTTTGTTTGAGAGTGCAGCTCTAGCCTTTACACAACCAAGTATGACCTACAAGGCAGTAGGAGTGGAGTAGGGAGTCCACTAGCCATTGGCAGCCGGTGACCGGAGTTCGGTTCATACGCCTTTTTGAATGGGGCCAGACATCCAGGAAATCCAACAAGCCCTTTGTCCATACGTCTGCCGGTGAGCTCCAGTGAGCTTCATACGCCAGTCGTTGGAGGTTTGGAATCAGGGTTTAGCCATCTCCCCTAGACTGTCATCCAACGGACAGTCAACCCGGTGAAGAGCGCCGGGCATCCGCTTTCACCCTTTCACTTTGGTGAAAAGCACCTCCGCCACGTGAAGGCAGTGAGTAGGACTTCCTCAGGAGAGGCTATGTAAGACGCCCGGTCATATGGGAGGATTTCAAGAGGTGTGCGGAGGGGTGGCCAACCCGCAGCGCAAGGCACCCACCCCCGACCATCCTGAGGCTTTGGAGGCCTAGGACCAGATCCAGTAGTTACATGGTATACGAACTCACCTTGTAACCGGAAAGTCCTGGGTTCGAATCCTGGTGGATGCATACTACCGGAGAGTTACAAACTAGGATGAATCAGCTGTCCAGTACTCTCTGGGTTCCCGATGAGTTCTTGAACTGAATTAAGATTCTATCAACAGATTTGTTTGACGTGCTTTTAACCACTGTTATGAGTAAGAAAATCGATAACAGGAAAAATGTATACTTCAAGTTATTCCCCTTTGTTTACTGCAATAACGATTTTTCTTCCTGCCCCCATAAGTCATTTACTTATAACACTCAGTCTGCATATCATTTTTGACGTCTTAATTGTATTTTTGTTGAATTTCATAGATGTTACCGCCAGTCTTTGGATTTACCAAAAAGCATAATCCATCCTCAGGTAAAGAAGATCTATTCATTTGTTGCCTTGTTGGAATGTTACCTGCCAATGCATTAAATGAGCATATTCAAAATCATTCAGTTAAACAAGAATTGAATGAAAAAGACGGTGAGAATAATGCCAAAGTGGCTAGTGGCGAAGAAGAAGAAGAGGCTATGTATATCCAGTCACACTGCCTGGATGTTTATTTGTTCAGACTTTGTTGAAATTCACTGAAGCTTCTCCGATAAGAGTTGTCTCTAGCCTCTTGTCTCTATCGTCTAAACGTTTGATTGCCTGGGCACAACATCCTCAGTTATCAAGAGTTTTAGAGGCAGTGCTTGCCTCTGTTTCTGTGACTAAGGGACGCAAAGTTGAACTATTTAAGGCTTTAACGGTTAGTTGACATTGTGTTTGTATTATATTCAATTATTCTGCTTATTATTATTATTATTTTTACCGAGGTATTGTGGAATTCACTATGGAGATGTGATTTTTAGATTGTTTCTCGATTGTATTATGATTTCAGTGTGTAGATTTCATCATGAATCAACCAACATCAGTTAGAGAGATCATTGAGAGCCAGGGGGCATTGTACGGCTGTTTCGTCCTAGGTTTTGGACACAAGGGCCAGGCAACAGACCGTTTATTGAAAAAATCAACAGATATTTATAGATTTCTATGTACATTATTGTTAGCGGAGAAGCAACCTCTTCTGATTGGTTGTTTTCTCGCTGAAGGTTATTCTGTACTGCTTGTGACCGTTTCTTAGAAAGTTAAGCCATATATCTGCGAATCATATTTGCACACGTCAAGTCTGCTGTGATTGGTTGGTGATTTACTCAAGGTTAAGCTTTGTTATTGTTTTTTTTTCTCATGACCCTGATTCGGGACGTAAACATTGACGTAAATTGTTGTCTACAATTTAGGCTTGCAGACAGCTCTCACCACATTTTTAGTTATTGGGAATTTTACCCAATTCACGATGGAGTTTGTTATAAGCGTGTAAGTCATGAAGTAGCTCATGACGGTTAAACTGTTCGCATTTGAAACTTTTCAAAGTTATAATACCACGTGTCCACGAGGATCGGATTCAGAATTGTTCGGTTTTGTAGCGATTGTACACATTTTTAAGATTTAATTTTAAGTAATTTAAATATTTCATTGGTTGGAGGATTTCATCATGAGCTGACATCAGTCAGAGAACCATTGGAAAACCTGCAGGGAGTATTGGGCAGCTATTTCGTCCTAGTTTAGGACTCTTCAGTAGTACGCACCTACCAGGGTTCGAATCCCGCACCTTCTGGTTACAAGGCCAGCGAGCTCGTAGACCATTGAACCACTGGGACGCGATCCAATGGCCCATGAATTCTAACTTCTGCCAATTCATGACACAGCGCGACCACTTCGTAATTTGCGTACTGATGAGGAGTCCCAAACCAGGACAAAACAGCTGTCCAGTACTCCTTGCAGGTTTTCCGATGGTTCTCTAACAGATGTCAGCTCATGATGAAAACCCTCCAACCAATCAAACAAAATCCCTATAAAAAAGCCAATACTTGGAAATTTAATGTACACTTACATACGAAATAACCATATATATATATATATTTGCGATTGTACAGCTGTGAAAATGAATTCGCCGAAAAGAGACTCTTCCTTGAACTCCCGGTCTTCTCTTTATGCTACAGAAACCAATAGGCTATTATTTCTAACTTCTGCCAATTGGTGATAGATAGCGCCATCACTAGTCAATGTCATCAGCAAGTATTTATCCTTACACCCAACTTGATGAATCACGTCAGTTACAACTTCTCACTAGGACTTCAGGTGACTTCATCTCGTAGTCAGTCGCTAGTGAGCATCAGACTAATTTTCAAATTTTGTTTTGTAGAGACTTGATAGATTTCAAGATTGACCATGAGTAGACATCAGTTCGATAACCCAATGAAAACCAGCCGAGTAGCGGATAGCTATTTCATTATAATTCGGAGCTCACTAGCAGCTTGCATCGATGATGACCCTAGGATACTAAGGTTGCGAAGTCAGCCGACTGACCCTGTATACGGATTGTTGACAACTAAGTACTGAACAATAATTCACAAACAATTTCGAGTATTTAAACTGCAACATATATACATATATATATATCTTTGATCATAGGTGCCTGCGTTCTACCTCCTGTGTGAAGTGGTATAGTAGGGTAAGCAATATCGAGGTTAGGCGTCGAGTGCGAGGTAAGGCGGGGAAATCAATCGACGAGACTGTGAAGGTACATCGACTGAAATGGTTAGGCCATGTGTTACGTATGCCTAGCCAGCAATCGCCTTCCTCAGCCGACGGTCACTGTTAGCTGACATAGGGTCAGGCTGGAAAAGAGCTAGTGGTGATCAAACCAAAACATGGCATCAGTCAATGAAATCTACAACAGTTAGTTTAAGCCACGTAGGAAGGTGTAGACTTCCTGGTTGGGGTCCTCGGGATGGTGAAAACCAATGGTTGGAAACAATTGGTGACATGGCTCAAAATCGTTCTCAATGGCTGGCGCAGATGCATCCACTCCTTGTGACTTATAATTTCCAATGAAACTATATTGTTCTTCGTTATTACTATTCCTTTGTCCACTTTTACTGTCTATATTATGCATTTCTTCTACTTTCTTCTCTTGCTTTGTGTGCTACATGGAGTGTGGCGACTTGAATTGCCGCACATATGTGCAAAGTTCTATGTCGAAAACAGACATATATATATTATCATCGCAAATAGTAGCTAAAATTTATGACCGATTATTGGATTCCATCCCAGTGCCTTAATCGTCAACTGGCTTGCCACGTAAGCTGAAGGTCGTAGATTTGACCCTTGGTAATGGGGTAGTGGTCATGGGTGCGTAATGTTGAAGAGTCCCAAAGAGAGACTAAACAACTGCCCAGTACTTCCGGTTGGTTGTCATCGGTTCTCTAAGTGAAATCAGTTCGTGATCGATCTTGAAATCAATTGAATCCCTGCATACTAAAACTTGAAAATAAGTCACTACAATACGCTTGGTTTGTATTATTATTATTATTGTTCCCTTGGGTTCCGAGTGGAACATAAGGCTTCAACAACACATCTCCACTTTGATCTATTTTCTGCCATCCTCTTCAGCTGGGTCCACGATTTCCCATAGTCTGTCATCTCTTCCTCACGCGATCTCCTCCATGTCACCCTAGAACTGACGGCCCACTCGTCGCTTCCCATTTGGATTCCACTCGAGCGATGGCCTGGCACACGATGTCATTCGATGGCCTCCTCAGTGGCGTGGCTCAATCCATCTCCATTTTCTCTGACATATTTGTTGAGTGATCGGTTCTTGGTTGGTTTGGTTGGTTTTTGTATCAGCTTAATTTATGCATCAGTTTTTTTCCCTTTTTTGTTTTAAATTTTATTTTTACAGGATGGTTTTTGCATTCTAGCATGTCATGCTAATGGAAGTCATGTTATCGAGGCATTGTGGACTGCTACACATGACTTTGCTCAACCATTGGTGTACAAAGAATTGATGGCAGAACAACTTATTAGCAAGCAAGCTGGTCACCTTGCTTCACATAAATATGGACATTTTGTTTACAAAAAATTATCATTAGAATTGTATAAAACGAATAAAAATCTCTGGCTAAGTCGTAATTCACCTGATCGTCTACTTAAAAAACGAGCTAATTCTGAGAAGCCTCAACAAATATCTGGTGGGTGTTTATCATACGTATATATATATATATTTATGACTGCAAATCAAATTATTAATATATATATATATATGCTTTTTACGAGTTGATCACGGATTGATATCAGTTAGAGAACCATTGAAAACCAGAGAGTACTGGACAGCTGCTGTTTCATCCTAGTTTGGGAATCATCGGCAGTACTCACCCACCACCATGGTTCGAACCCAGGACCTTCCGGTTACAAGGCAAGCTGGCTCGTATACCATTCAGCCACTGGGACCCGATTCAATGGCTCATGATCAACTCGTAAAAACATAACTAACCCTTACAAACCAAACTATAGAAAATATATATATATGCGTCGGTGGCACAGCGGTAGAATGCTTGCCAACCACGCTGGTGGTTCGGAGTTAGATCTCTAGCCGACGCACTCCTTTACCTCGCTAAGCGAGTAATACGACTGGTAAAGAGGGAAGATAGGGCATGAGGCTAGCAACCCCATCCCGTAAAAATAAATACCACTGCTGCTGAAACTTCAAAGCTCTAGCTTGAAGCCCTATATTCCACTGGGAACGTAAAGGAATTATATATATATATATATATATATATATATATATATATTAGTAAACATAAAAAAGACAGAGGTGATGAAGATATACAACCAATAACAATAAAGAGTATCATTCAACATCAACAGGGAAATTCTAAAGGAACTGACCACTTTCAGCATCGTCTCAACGACGGGCGGTACCAACGAAGTCTGTCTGTCTGACTGTTTTCAACATAGAACTTCGCACCGATGTGCAGCAGTTCAAGTCGCCACACTCCATGTAGTACACAAAGCAAGAGAAGAAAGTAGAAGAAATGCAAAATAGAGACAGTAAACAGGGATATAAGACAAAAGCAATAGTAATAACGAAGAAAAATATATTTTCATTGGGTATTATAAGTCACAAGGAGTGGATGCATCTGCGACAGCCATTGAGAACGATTTTGAGCCATATCACCAATTGTCTCTAGCCATTGGTGTTTACCATCCCAAGACCCCAACCAGGAAGTCTACACCTCCCTACGTGGCTTAAACTAACTGTTGTGGATTTCATTGACTGATGAAACGATGTTTTGGTTTGACCACCACTAGCTCTCTCTTTTCCAACCTGACCCTATGTCAGCTAACATTGCCCGTCGAGGAAGGTGGTCGATGCCTAGGCATGCCATCTCAGTCAATGTAGCTTCACAGCCTCGTCGATTGATTTCCCCTCTTTACCTAGCACTCGACGCCTAACCTCAGTATTGCTTACCTTACTATACCACTTCACACAGGAGGTAGAACGCAGGCACCTATGATCAAAGACAGCTAGCCAGGCTTTTCATGTCTTCCACTCTCAATGGCCAGATCTCACAGCCATTAAGGAGGACGGAGGACGGTACCAATGAAGAGAGATGTCAAAGCCCCAGACAGGATCGAGAAAACAAGGCAGATCTTCATTACTCTAAAATCAGTGTGGAAATCCATTGCATTTAGCATAAAAAAACAAGTTTCAGACTTACAGCACTAAGGTTCAAGTCAATCGAGTGCTTCTATATGTTTCGGAGACTTGGCACATGTATTACCAGAAAGCATTTCCAACAGGCTACTGCAGACTTTTACCAACAGCTGCCTTCTCTCCCTACTGAAAATCAGTTGGCTAACGTGAAAGGATGAGCAACAGAGAACTGTGTCAACGAACAACCAGGAACCTATTGGCCAATTCATGTGTTGAAGAAAATAGAGATGGATTGGACAAACTCTGAGAAGACCCTTTGAATGACATCACATGCTACGCCGGTCGTCGAGTAGAACGTGGATGTTGAACGACGTGATGGGTTTTAGAGGGTGATATGGAGGAGACCGCGTGAGTAGGGGATGGAAGCTTATGAGTAATTGTGGAGTCAGCTAAAAATGACTTCAGAGAACAGGATGAAATGGAGATGTGCTGTTGAAGCTGCATGTTCCACTTGTGAACTTAAGGGGATAATAATAATATTTCAGTATTCAATAGGCTGGCATACTAATTATCGTGTACGCCGAAGCGATATTAATGAATTCAGTTTGTGATTACGAGATGGCGAAAGACTGAACTATTGTTGGGCATACGTCAGTCACCTTTGGTTCATTAATCGGTAACTGGGTTCCAAAAAAGTAGTTCGCAAGCTTGCAGTCCACTTCATCTTTCAGATAAACGCACACTCATTGGTCCTTACTACATGTCCTGATCGATAGCCGCTACCTTAACGTGGTAGTCAGTGACCTAATTAGCTACACCGGCTGGAATGAATGTTCCTGCAAGTCATACCATGACAGAAAGCGTCGTTTGGATAGTGGTTAGACTAATAGCAGTTTCCATCGTAGTGTAAATCGTTTACACTATGTTGGGGTCTGTGGTCGAATTCATACTAGTGGCGAATACGGATGTAATAGTAGTATGCCAGCTATGCTACCTCTCAGCTCTACAAAAGAGTTGGTTAGAAAAAGTCGACCTCGAAAATTGTACATACCGGCCTACCTTCCGGTGGTAAGATCTTAGTGCGGACACAACTCCGAAAGCCAGCTCAAACAGACCATGTGTGACCAACCGCAAGGATTCTCCCCCTAGACTCTGCAGTCACACATCACTATTTCTCCTTCTGCTTTATGTATTTAAAAAAAATTAGCTTTCATGTGTGCAGACGGGAATCAACAACTGTCCACACATTTCCATATACACACAAAGCTTCCCTAACCATAACTAAACCTGTAACTCTAACCAACACTCCATACCACTCGTTAGCCTTCCAGTTCAATGTAGCGCAACTCTGCGTATTTGACCATTGATGTTTCCGTAGAATTGCTTGCGTCTGATGGCATGGTTGTGTAAGTTACTTTGCGATCCGGCAGCGTGTGTATTTTGACACAGTTACTAGTGTGTTCATCCTGAAACACTGGCTTCTGTGGCTTGGACATGTGCTACGAATGTCATCCTAGAGGCTTCCATATCACTCCCTATTCTCTAGTGCTGGAACTAGATGAAAATAGCGAAGAGGTGGTCAGCCTATGACGTGACGCCATGGGATGAAGAATGTATCTATTAGATTAATTAGTATCCGTTGGTACACCACAATTCGCTGAGGACGGATGGATGCGGGTTCCGAGTGATAATTTGAATCAGTGACTTGAGACGTTATCAGATGATATGGCCAAAAATCGTAATCGAATGGCGAATATTCTGCAGTTTCCTTCTTACTTCGCTTTCTGAGAGTAACATGAAGTGATGAATGTTGAATCATCTTAACAAGTATGCTTGCCTACTTCCCGGATGGCGTCCTTCGTTCATTTTATTCCTATTTCCAATATATATTGTTGTTTTATATATATATATGTATATATATATATATATATATATATATATATTCTATAGTTGTTTTGTAAGGATTAGTTTTGTTTTCACGAGATGATCATGGATTGATATCAGTTAGAGAACCATTGAAAACCAGGGAGTACTTGACAGCTGTTTCATCCTAGTTTCGGAATCATCGACAGTACGGACCCACCACCATGGTTCGAACCCAGGACCTTCCGGTTACAAGGCAAGCTGGCTCGTATACCATTCAGCCACTGGAACCGGATTCAATGACCAACTCATGAATTCTAACTTCTACCAATTCGTGATTTAGCGCGACCCCAACCAATGTCGTCGGTGGGACATCCATCCTTACACGTGACATCTGGATGGACCTCACTGGTCACGACTTCTCACTAGAACTCCATCCTGTAGCAAGTCACTAGCGAGCATCAGATTAATTTTCTATAGTTTGGTTTGTAAGGGTTAGTTTTGTTTATATATATATATATTGTTGTTTTATTATATGTACGTATATAAATTATACTTTTTTTAAAAAAATTTCAGGCGCCAAACGTGCACGAGGAGAATTCAAGTGAATACGCATACCAGACAAACTATTATTGTGTATATATTCTAATAAAGTTTATACCTAAAAATGTGAATTTGAGTCTTCTTATGTGTTATTTGCATTTCTTCAATGTCTCAATCTATCAGTTAGTTGTCTGCTTACTTTTTGTTTTAATGTGATAATGCAGTGAAGTGCACCACAAACCAGAATATTTCAGGAGAGTGTAAGCACATTAAATGAAAGCACTGATGATTACCCATCCCTTTTCAATAAGACGTTTTAGCTGATGGTAGCTCCGAATTCTCTTAAAAATCCTTTCTGCTAACTTCGTATTAGAGCATTCAGCGTCAGGAATCTATACCGAATAAGACAACAGGCCTCACCAGCCGGAACTCTGGCAACTCGAATCATGTTGTGTTTTGGAGACACGCGTACGAGATCCAAGTTTGGTTATTCACTTAGCTCCGCTTGGCCAGCAGGGTGAATTCGCGAAATTGACCTTACGGGTGTCAGGGGATTCTTCTGTTGATTTTTGGGGACTTGAAGGTGTAGAGGTAGCCTTGAGTGCAGGGCAGAAAGAATTCCTATTTAGGTGGATTCCACTGCAATTGTCGTATGTGTGCTGTCTGGCTGGACAGACCCGTGAGAAAAAGGATGGGTTGTGATACCGTGTAGATCTCTTCATAATCTTCGCTTAAGCCCTCAGCCGACTGCAATTCGGACGAAGTGAGGGATACTTTCTACCGAAAGCTGTCTAGTTTGCTGCTAAAAGCGAAACGTTCTGATGTGGTCGATTTTAGCAAGTCCAATAAGTAATTTGTGTCAGTAAGAGAAGTATACTGGCGGTACCTATGTAGTTCTAAGCCGACAACGGTGACTATCAGGTAATCATCTGTTCCTCGTCGGAAATAACTTCAAACACAAAGACAGACATTGCCTAACCTGTCAAGAGTGATAGATATATCATTAATTGCATCAGTTGTCACTATAGAATGAAAGACTTTTTGAGATTGATTATATGTCGTCCATTTTATAGGAACCTTTTTCGTTAAGCTAAATTGTGCGTAACAAGAATAGTGATTATGTGCCATAATTGAATTTTGAAGTGGTCAGAGTAACAGCAATTACTTCTGAGAGGAATAGCACGACAGTGAAAAGGTATCAGCGCTGTCGACATACTGAATTTAGGAAAATGAATAACATAACACGTGTGCTCGATGTGGTCGTTCACTTCGATCAAACTGTGCTTATAAAGAATAAGTACAATTAGGGAGGACAGGGTGTGAATCAGACGTTGGTATTGAGAATATATATATATAGAGAGAGGATCCCTAACCGAAGTGCAAATGTACTAATCCGAAGTCAATGTCTGGACAGTCATTCAGATAGGCAGTTATCGTCGTCCGCCTACATTTACCACAGCATAAATTATTCTCCGGATTTCTTGGATCCATTCTATGAGATTCACACAAATTCCATCGAAGTACTCTGGAGGCGTTTGAAGAACATATCGCAAAATGATATTATATATCGTCATCTGGAAGACTTCATATTTATAAGTGAGAAACACTTCCAGAACATACAAGATATGCTCAACCTGTATGATTTGTTTTATTATAAGTTCTTCTAATCAAATGTAACGACAGAAAACAAGGGCCAGGCAACAGATCGTTTATTGGGAAAATCAACAGATATTTATAGATTTTTATGTACATTATTATTCGTTATTTTAGCAGAGAAGCAACGTCTTCTGATTGGTTGTTTTTCTGCTGCTAAAGGTTATTCTGTCATCTCTTTGTTGCCGTTTCTTAGACAGTCCGGTGATGTATCTGCGAATCGTATCCGCCCACGCTAAGTCTGCTGTGATTGGTTATTGAGTTCCTCAAGGTTAGGCTTTGTTCTTGTTTTTTTTTATGACCAAGATTTGGGACATAAACATTGACGTAAATTGCTGTCTACCGATTTTGGCTAGCAGACAGCTCTCACCACACAAATAGTATCTTTTCTTGCCATGCGGCTGATGTGATTGGTTAGTAGTTGGTTTGATACACCATACTTTATTGTTGCCATTTCCTCTCTACTTATATTCCTGCTGTTTCAATTCCGTTAAACATATTCGATTGTACATCTGGAAGATTTGGTAGAGTAAACAATTCCCTACGCTGCACTGGGTGTTTTATAGAAACCAATTTCTCTGCATTAGTTGAAGCACGTACACAAAACTGCATTAAGCCGTTAATGACCAGTAAAAAGTTAGTTTTAACGTAGGACTTTGCACAAAGGTGTCCCAGTTCAAGTTGTCACACTTCATATAGCATACAAAGGTACAGAAATTCAAAAGAACTATAATGGATGAACAGAAATGCAACTGAGCGATTTGCAATGATTCTGATCCATATCATCAGCAGTCTCTGCCACTTCCCAGTTAACTACACCATGGGAGTTAATTTCTGCCTGAGGTAACTGAAACAGGAAGAGTGCTAGTGTTGCGTAATCACAATGTACAAGAGACAGCTGCTTGAGTTAGCTATTATGGTTTGGACCCCATTAAGATCTGATTTCCACAAAGTTTGTCAGGATGTACAACTTTCAGGGTCGAACATTCCTAACATCCGTCCTGTCTCCAGAGCAGAGAGACAGTATTGGTGGCTTGCTTGTCGTTTGAGGGAAGCATCTCACTAGCAGTACGACTTCGCCCCATTGTTCCACAACATAATGTAAACGAATAATACTATAACGGTGACTGGTTTTAGTAGGATCGATATCCAAACCACGCTTCCTGGCACCATAGGACGTGCAAGAACGTTCATCCCAGTCAGTGTAACTCGACCACCAATTCAAGGTAGCAGCTGTCGGTCGAGATATGGTAGGCAGTGTTACTAGAATTATACAAGTGTCTAAGATAGACCAAACCACCACAGACTACAAAACTGCAGTGACTATGAATATAGATGAAAAGGTTTCAGCTAGCAAAAGTTCAATGACTTCACAACTAGTAAAACCTCAAGATCAGATCTTCAGATATTATTTCTGCATTTTTCTTTTTATCAGACAATAGCTTAAACAATAAGGTGTCATCTCAGAAGGTTTATGTGGCTTACTCAAGCCTACAGGTACAGTCAGAGAGAGAGACTATACTGGGCTGCCAAAAGGGCATAAAATGGTTTACTTCTTTGGCCAGTGTTAGAAATGTCTGATTCCCCGTATCACGCAACAACCAAGTGTTTATTGAAGCTCTTACAGCCTATGCATAAATAATAAGTAAAACACAATGCAGGTTTGATCACAGATTGATATCAGTTACAGAACTATTGAAAACCAGCCAGGGAATATTAGAAAGCTGTTTCGTCTTAATCCGGGACTCATCGGCTGTGACTGGCTACAGGACGAAGTTGCCTAGAGTTCCAGTGAGAAGTCGTTACCAGTGGGGTCCATCCAGTCGGGAGTGAGGATGGAATTCCTACCGATGACACTGGTTAGTGGTCGCGCTAAAATCACGAACTGGTAGAAGTTAGAATTCATGGGCTGACCATTGAGTTGGTGAGTCCCAGTGGCTGAATGTGATTTACGAGCTTTCCTTGTAACCGGAAGGTCCAGGGTTCGAATCCCGGTGGGTGCACACTACCTGTTGAGTCCCCAACTGTATCCTCTATATGAAGGAACTTATTTTAAGATGTAAGATGAATGCTCATTTATTGTTCAACAAGGAATACTATAGGTAGATTGATGGTGTGGCTATGGGTTCATCATTAGGTCCAGTCATAACTGACTGTTTCCTCTCTGAGTTAGACAGTAGACCACTTAAAGGAGTAATTAATGAAGTGGAATTCTACTGTTGATATATGGATGACACATTTCTGGTCAGGAGAAACGATAATGAAGCAGCGGATATTCTCAACAAGTTCGATAATGCACTATGTATAGAAAGCATGTAGTGAAAGTATCTCATTCCTAGACGTCTTTCTAACCAGGAAAGAGGATGGTACACTAAGAAAGTGTATGTAGGAAATCTACAACGACAGGTCAGTACACTCACATTTTGAGTTTTGCACCTTTGAAAAATATAAACGCAATTTGGTAAAGTGTTTAGTTCATACAGCTAGGATAATCTACTCAAACGACTATATCAATTAGGACCTCAAGATTATCAGAGAATTGCTTAGTAAAGATGGTTGTCCAGATAAGTTCATTGATAAAGATATGAATTTAGCACCAAGGCAAGGCAGTATGACAACAGTTCCAAAAAGGCCATTGTTCATAAAACTACAGTTTCTTGGTGATAACATCAGCGAAACAGTGACACAGCGCCTGAAGAATGCAGTTAAAAGAGTATTCAATACAGCAGAGATGCGCTGTCTCTTCACAACCACTCCAATTTTACGTTCGAGAAATAAAGACAAACTACCTAATTTCACCTCTACTATCTGTATCTACCAGTTTGACTGCTCCTGTGAAGCTAGTTACATTAGGCGTACAATTAGGCAGGTTCATCATTACATTTCTGAACATCATCCTGCATGGTTGAGCAAGGGTCAAATAAGATCTATTCGTAGCTCTGTTTTACCACACCTTGTAGACAGTGAGCATAAAGTTGATGTTAATACAGCATTTAAAGTTATTTATCACATTCCTACCAATCTCAATTTTGCTTTACGAGTTCGTCTTTGTTCTAGGCCATCAGAATCCACTTAAAGAAGCCAAACCTGTGTGTTCATAGGAAATTTTTGCAACCACTTTCCTTACCTTGGCCATCGTTAGATGAATGTTAAAATCTGACAGTTTCGCCCTCCCCCTGAGTCTTTCACAAGTTATCACTGTCCTTAATTACTTTATTTTTCTGACTACTTCATCTTTAATTGCCTATTACGTAATCAATCGTCTTGGACACCCATTTATTTCTTAATTACTGCTTACTTTTTTCTAGAATTATGCAATCCACTTGTTGTAATCATTTTTACCCTTTAATTGTTTGTATTAGTTCTTCCTGGTTAATTATCATACTCCTACTGACATGTTGATATCGACTAATTATTGTTAACAAACTTATCGCCACTAAATTGGTAAAATATTTTGTTCAATCACGGATTGATATCAGTTAGTGAACCATTAAAAACCAGCCAGGGAGTACTGGACAGCTGTTTCGCCCTAATCTGAGACTCACCGGCAGTACGCACCCACTAGGATTCCACAACCGAGGACCTTCCGGTTAAAAGGAAAGCTCGTAAATCACATTCAGCCACCAGGACCCACCAACTCAATGACCAGTTCATGAATTCTAACTCCTACCAGTTCGTGATTTTAGCACGAACACTGCGGATGAGTAGCAATCTAGGACGAACCAGCTGTCCACTACTTCCTGACTGGCATTCACTGGTTCTCTAACTTATATCAATCCGTGATCAAACTTGAAAAAAAGACAAATCCCTATGAACAACCTCTTGAAAATTTTGTATTGTAAGTATTTTTGAGTAGAGTCAGAGATAAGGATCTAACTGAAAAGTAAATATTTCCTGCATTTATTCCCATTAATGAATTTGAATAAAGCAAGAACAACAGTTTTTGCAGAATAAAATGGTACCATCATTGTTTATTTCGTTGGCTTCTCATCAGCTGCTTACAGGTCAAAGTCATTATTAAGTATATCTACAGAAACAATTTTAACATACTTGCACAGAGTATGTTATTTGTTCTTTGGTGCAATCAAAAATCGATAGATATCCTTCTCATGTTAACTCCAACTGTATATATAAATTTACATGTATCTGCGGGAGCAGTTACATTGGAAGAACAGAAAGAAGGGCATACCTCCGATTTTCTGAACATATACCAAAAAGCCTATGTCTAAAGGGAACAAATGCTTTAAACAGTGCCATCACCAGGCATCTCCTTGACACGGGGGTCATGAGGTGGACGTCGTAAGATCGTTCAAAATTATCAATAGGCAAAAGAGTTCAATTCTCCTCAAGTTTGCTGAAGCAATCTCCATCAAGCGCCTGAAACCCGATTTATGCGTTCAGAAAGAAGTGGTTATTATTGTCTTTCCTTGCCCTGCGTAACTGGATATTTTCACCTTCTCTTTCATCTTATTACGTAATGTCAAAAGTTTCCATTGTGTATGATCATTATTGTTCAGGATAAATTGTTTATTATTATATTTATTATTATTGTATGCATATATTGATTGATTTTTGTTTAAAATGAACTCTGTGCAAGTATGTTAAAATTATTTCGGTAGATATACTTAATAATGACTTTGACCTGTAAGCAGCTGATGAGAAGCCAACGAAATAAACAATGATGGTACCATTTTATTCTGCAAAACTGTAGGCTATTGCTTTATTCAAATATTTCCTGGCTTAATTCTTTTATCCTCTAATTGTCTAAATGAGGATTCCAGTCGACAGAGTGTTGTTTTTTATTACAGCTTGATTCCACGCCGTATTTTTCAGTACAAGTATGGAATTTTCAGCATGTGATATCGGTAGCCCAACTTTAGCAGGCCGACCATTGATATCGGGTGTGCGTCGGCAGGGGATCGAACCCCGGACCATGTGCCTAACTGCTGTGCCACCGACGCGTATACAACAGAAGTTCCAACACCCTTCCTTATCACCATCACCATCGGAGTTAACAAATAATTTTCTAACATGAATATTTACAACAGAAAAATATTTACAATTTCGAATGTTTCTTTGTAAGAACACTTTCCAGTATCAAAAACAAAAATTGTATTTTCCTCTCTCCTCTATGCATATTCTGAGTAGTGGTCATTTTGACGACGACAACAACAGCACATACCAAAAAGCAAATTACCAATAAGAATGAAGTAATAAAAAAAAGTAATAAACAAAAGGATCAGTTGAATACAAAAAAAAAAGAAAACGATCAGGAATGTGAAAACAACGACGCCATAAGGGTGCAGCACACATATATGTGTGTACTTACTGTCTGTCCCCTTCTACAACACTCAGTAGTAGAAATTAAAATTCACTCAATCATAATTTCATTTTTAAATACAAAAGAAGTGAGGCTGTAAAACTTTCAAATCGAGGAGAAACTGTCAGAGTTATAAAAGGCAACAGTCACAAATGAATAAAAACTCGATGTGTGGGGAGGGGAGGGGAGGGGATTACTGCACATATATATAGTGTAGTCGATGAACTGTACAAAGTGTTCACTATGAATCACAATCATAAGGAAGACGATTAGGGATTATCTCAACGATTGAAGAGAGCGAGAGATAGAAAAAGCCGGTATACATACACAGTAGGAATGAAAAACAAAAAAAAACACCCAATAATTATGAGTTGTCTTTTGTCACATTTGACGCGTATTCATCTCACTTAAAATAATAAAGAAAACAAAAGATAGGCACTGTCTGTGGGTGGGTGGGTGTTTGTAAAAAGGTAGGATAATCACAACCATAGGCGTTTTTTTAAAAAAGAATAAAAAAAGAAAAATGAAGAGCGCGTTGATCTGTAGCGCAAGCACCACCTTCCAACTTTTATCATCATTTATTTATTTAGTGTCTCGAGTTCTCAAAGAATTCGTACTATTATTGACTTCTTGAGAGAATAAAGTAATGATGCGACTGGGACGTGATTCTGGTGTTGTGTTGTTACTGGAATTGGACAGTGTACCCCAACGCACATTTGCCAGACTGGTTATTGGTCTGGGAATGGAATGTTTATGCCTAGATTTTGGACTGCCGTATAAGGAGTAGGAGGAGGAGGAGTAACTGTTACCACCGCCACCATTTGTCTTCAGTGAATCTTCTTTAAACTCTTGAGCAAATTGTTCTTTTAATACCTGTTTGTAGGATTACATAATAATAATAACAATGAGATATACAGGTGATATATTATATTACAATGGACTAATTTAAAATGATTTCTGTTTGTTTGTTCATATATGTGTAAAACTTGGGAAATGTGTGTAATTAAATATCAATAGTACCAAGACTATTATAATTATTATTGTTTCCTTTAATTCCTAGAGGAACATAGGGCTTCAGCCGTGCGTCTCCATTGCGTTCGGTTCTCTGCTAGAGTTTTCATCTGGCTCCAAGTCTGCCCACATGCTTTCATCTCCTCTTCACATGACCTCCTCCAAGTCACCCTCGCACTGACGACCAACTCGCCGCTTCCCTTTCGGGTTCCACTCGAGCAATGGCTTGTCTAGTGATGTCACTTGATGGTTTGTTTCCTCAGAGTATGGCCAATTCACCTCCATTTCTTCCTGCCTATTTGTTGCACAATCGGTTCCTGGTTGGTTCTCTCCCAGACATCCCTGTTGCTGATCTTTTCTGGCCAGCCATCTGATCTTGAGTTATTGAGCGAAGACAACTGTTAATGAAGGTCTGTAGTTTGTTTGAGATGCTCTTTATGACGCGCAGTGCAAGTCTCTGATCCGTATAGTAAGTGGCACTGACTTCACATTGGAGTTGAAAATCCGGATCTTATTTTTCATGCTGAGTGCTGTTGACCTCCACACAGACTTGAGAGTAGTGAAAGCTTGTCTTGCTTTTCCGATTCTTGCTTTGATATCCTCGTCAGTTCCGCCTGTAGTTGAAACGATGCTTCCCAGGTAGGTAGGTAAAGGAGTTTGTTTCTTTCAGGTTCCTCCCATTTATGCTGATTGTTGTCTGTTGTTGTTGCTGTTGGTGGTGTTGCCCAGGAATCTTCATCACCTCTGTTTTCTCTATGTTCACCTGAAGTCCTATCTTTGATACTCCTTATGCCAACTTGTTGCTTTTCGCTTGCATATCTTCCAGTTTGTGGGAAATCAGATATATATCATCGGTGAAGTCCAGATCCTCCAAGTTTTTTGTGTGAGTCCATTTTATGCCTGTTTCCTCATTGCCCACTGTCTGTCGCATTATCCAGTCTACCGCCCACAATCAGGAAAATCATTGGAGATAGTAGGCAGCCAGCTTGTCTTACTCCTGTCCTCACTTCGAAGGATTCCGTAAGTTTCCCATTGTGGATTACTTGGCATGCAGCATTGTCGTACAGCTGTTGGATGAGATGTATAATTGTCGGTGGCACCCCGTAGTAGCGAAGTAGTTTCCAAATCACCTCTCGATTGACGCTGTCTGCTGAAGGCCTTTTCAAAGTCGATGAAGTTGAGATAGAGAGGTGACTGCCATTCCAAGCTTTGTTCAATGATGATCCGTAGTGTGGCGATTTGATCAATACATGACTTGTTTCTCCTGAATCCAGCCTGTTCCAGTCGAAGTTTTTCATCCAGGGTGGCGTGTTTGATTCTCTCCAGGATGATGCGGCTTAGTATTTTGCTTGGGATGGACAGGAGCATAATTCCGCGCCAGTTCTTGCATTGACTTAAGTCTCCTTTCTTTGGTAGTTTGAATAAGTATCCTTTCTTCCTATCCGGATTGGAAGAAAGGATACTTATTCAAACTATACGGTTTACCAAAGATACATAAAGCCAGCCTCCCACTGCGTTCAATTTTAGATATGTCAGGTTCCCCGTAGCATTCAATAACAAAATGGTTAGCTGATATTTTAGAACCTGCACGAAAACAGATGTGTCACTATTCGCTTCGTGACACACCTTTCAATTCGTCGACTATATACAAGATATCCACGTAACAAACAAAAATATGCTTTCTCTTGACATTGAGTCACTATTTACCAACTTCCCATTCACAGAAACTGTCTGTCAATATATAAGACGGAAACCAGCTGAACGACAGCTTGTTTATATACTAATTTGTTTACTGAATACATCACACACGGTGGAACAGTAGTATTTACTGGATGACCAAGTTTCAAACACAATTTATTATATTATATGGTTGGAGGCAATCGTCAGGAAGCCTTCATACCTAGGTTTTGTGCTAGTAAGCACTCACCAGTCAGCAAGGCATATCTGCAACCACGAAGGAACTCATGTCCCTTCTGAGATTTGAACTCGCGTCATCCAGTGCTGCCTGCAGTCACAGACGTCAACACTGAGCTATTCGGGCTCGCGATTGACCTCCTGTAGGACTGTAGTGGATACTTTTGATTGGACACTAGTCAGTAACTAGTGTAATGTGTGTATGTCTAGTCCTATCTATGGTGTAGAATGAATTCTATCATCAGTAGTCAAGATTGCAGTGTGGCCACCCTGCCACTAGGTGGCTCGTCATCACGGTGCACTTTGAATTGTTGATATTCCATGGTTGGAAGCAATCGGCAGTCAAACCTCTACCTCAATTTCATCGACTGTGAAAAGGCCTTCTACAGGCAGCGTTGACCACAAAGTAATTTGGAAACTATTTCAATACCCCGGTTTGCGGTGTCCAAGTCTTTATCAACCGCAATCAACAGCTGGCTATATGACAATGCCACGTGTCAGGTGATCCACAACGGAAAACTAAGCGAGACGTTCGAAGTGAATACAGGAGTAAGACAAGGCTTGCTGCCTATTATCACCGATGATATTCTTAATTGTGGTGGGCTGGATTATGCGTCAGACAGTGGAGAGCGAGGAGTCAGAAATACACTGGACCACCGATAAGAAGACTCCAGAAGATCTGGATTTCGCAGATAATATATGTCTAATGTCACACAAACTCGAAGACTTACAAGCGAAAACCAACAAACTGGCTGCGAAGACAGGACTGCAGGTGAACATAGAGAAGACGGAGGTGATGAAGATAACCAATCAAAAGCAACAACTAGCACCAATGTTCATCGACGGGACAGATTTAACAGAGGTTACCTGCTTCATTTATCTAGGAAGCAGCGTTTCAAGCACAGGCGGAACGGATGAAGATGTCAACACTAGCCAGAATTGGAAAGGTAAGATACGCCTTCATCAATCTGAGATCAGTTTGGAAATCTTCTGCATTCAGCATAGGGAACATGATTCGAATTTTCAATACTAATATCACGTCAGTGATTCTGTGTAGTTCAGAGGCTTGGCACACGCATCACAAGAAGCATTACCAATAGATCACTGCAGACTTTCATCAGCAACTGTTCCCTTCGCTTGACACTAGGGATCAGATTATCGGCTGAAAAGCTTACAAACAACAAGGAATGCTACCAATGAACCAACCAAGGACCTATAACTCCCCAAAAAATTCACAAGGAATTGAAGATGGATCGGATATACGTCAAGGAGACAGTTGAGTGAAATCACACACCGAGGCCATGAATGCGAACCCACAAGGTTTGACGTCGGTGACATGAAACAGGCGATGTGAGGAGGAAATGAAAGACTATGGGCAACCGTGCAGCCAGTTAAATAATGACTGCAGAGAGAGAATACAGTGAGAAGGTGATGTATTGTTGAAGCTGAATGTCCCACTCAGAACCCAAGGGAATAATAATAATCATTCTTTAAGCGTAGAAAATGTGTTCTAAAGGCGACAACACTTCTTTAAAATAACAGAGAATATTCAATCAATAAGGAACACAAAACATGTAGTTCAAAGAAGAGTCTCTTATGGGCAAATTTATTCACTTAGTTGTGTTCTTTTTCTAACTCCTTATTACATATGTAAATTTTAGAACTCTTACATAATTTCACATTTTCCTTTGTTTCTATGTGCATCCTAATCACAACTTACTTATTAAACTATTCATTTTATTATGTAACTGTATTACACTTATTCAACTTCTCCCATGGGTTGATTAACATCAACAACTACATTTTTTTGACAACACATCACCACTACCCTCTTACTAATCTCCACCACCCCCTTCTCTAGTTACAATTTGATCATTCATCACATTTTTAAAAGTATTTTGATGACGTAAACAATAACCCCAACTAAATTTTATTCTTGTCTAATGTACACATACATACAAACAAAAATAACTATATGTGACTGCGATTGTACTACTAAATGAATGAATTCGCCAACGAAAAGAGACTCTTCGCTGAACTACGTGCTTTATTTTGATTTGACACTAGCAACTAGTGTGATGCGTCTAGTCCTCTCTTTGGTGTAGACTGAATTCTACCAGTCAGGTTGTAATGTGGCCACCATTCTAGGTAGCTCGCCATCACAGTGTACATTGTTTGTGATGATTGAATCTCAGAAGGGACATGAGTTCCTTCAAGGTTGCAGATACGCCTTGCTGTCTGGTGAGTGCCAACTAGCACGAAACCTAGGTTAGGCAAGGCTTCCTGCCGATTGCCTCCAACCATCTAATATCACTACGTGCTTTGTTTTCATTAATGTCTGAATGGGGATTATTTATGAATTATCCGATCAGCAAACACCAGAACCAATAGCATTAAGCGAATATATACCAAGCAAATATGGCGTAAAATTAGACGTCAAGGCATACTCAAAACATTCGCTTAAGAAGACTATGAGTTTGATATCAGACTTACTCGTGTTTTGTGTCTGCAATTCACCGTTTAGGGTCTCCGTCTTAATCAGGAAATTATCAAAAACTCAAAAGAACCTTGACTAACACCCTTCGGTTCCATCTCAATCGCTGAACAGTTAGTTAACGGGCTACTCTCGGAACCAGAAGGTCATGGTTGTGTGCTGCTGAACCCCCCCCCAGACTACGGCGAAACATCTATCCAGTACTCCCTATTTCTCTAAACCATGACAATCCGTGATGTGACTTGAGAATAGGATGATTCTGAAGAGGATGGCCACCTGTCGTGGTAGCACACTGATGGATGACACATGCATGATACACTGATTTGTTAATTCTTTGAGGCTGAGGAAAGCAAATCATTCAACGGGCTAATTATCCGTTTTTTTTCCGTCACGTTCCCCAGTGGAACATAGGGCTTCAAGCTAATGGCTTGAAGTTTCTGTAGCAGTGTTTATTTTACAGGATGGGGTTGCTAGCCTAATGCCCAACCTTTCCTCTTCACCAGCATTATTTCTGGCTTAGCGAGGTAAAGGAGTGCATCTGTGGCCAGGGATCGAACCCCGGACCACGTGCATGGTCGGCGATCATCCTAACCGCTGTACCACCGACGCACTTACACATCAAGTATAAGTAATGTATGTCAAATCATATGAATATCATGGGGAAAGAAAAGGACAATAACACACCGTTAAGTCAATTCAATCAACTTACAGTCTTAGTACGAGGTAATGATTCCGTGTATATACGTAATTCATTTTGATGTTTAATATCTAATTCTTGTAATCGTATTGTCTCTTGATCAATTAAAGCATTACGTTTTTCAATAACACTTTGTTCTAATTCTTTTAATCGATAGTGAATACTTTGTTCCAATGCTTCACATTGAGCTTTTTGTTTAGCCTCTAGCTGTGCCAATTCTTGATTCATACGCTTTTGATTTTCATCCATCTGTAAGCAATTTCCGTACACACAACAAAAAAAAGAAATATTTTATGCAGTTATATCTTACTAACTACTTATAAGTAGATAAAAATGTATCACAAAAATTATTGTAAAAGGTGGTTAATTAGTTACGACTGCATTGATGCGGGACTTTCCTTCCTAAAAGTGACGATTACTCAAACCGATTTATTGATAAAGACACGGAAGATAAGCAATCCAAACTGATCGCTGTTTCAGTTCCAAAGGAAACTATCTTCATGAATTTGAAATTCAAAAGTGATCAGGTGGCTTCAGCTATGCTCAAAAAACGTCTTACTTTATCCGTCGGCGGTCAGTAAGACGTTCTTTGTAGCTAAACTCCAATTGACCAACTCACCAGCCGAAAGCTATTCTCTGTCTCTGTAAAAGATAATCTCCGTCGTCCAATCATTTCCATGTACAATCATCGATTCACTTGCTCCTTTTGAGCAAGGTAAGTTAGCGGTAGCCAGAGAACGAACGTTTTCCACATTCCAGCATAGTTTTACAAGGCAGAAAAGAAGGGTGTGAAGAGCACTATTCTGTAACACTTGATTGACGCCTGTCATTCTACCAATTATATATATATATATGTAAACAATTCTATGAGGTCATACAAATATATACACCTTTTTTACGGTTTCAAATACGTGAGATATTATGATCAACTCATATCACTTATAGGTACAACGTCTTCTATCTTTCTTTTCCTTCTCTCTCTCTCTCTTTTTCTGTTATGTGCTGCTTTGTTTCTCTCTTCCTTACAAACTCTAATTAAAACATTCTTCTTCGTTTTTTCACACTCTGTATATCTCGACCTTTTTGTTACCGCTTACGCCAGTAATTATGCTAGCATCTACCTCTCTAACACCTTCAAACACTCTGTTCAATTTTGGCTTTGCTACCGACATGCTAATATGTTGTTGTCAAAACTAACCAAGATTACCCTTAATCTATGTAGAATTTTATTTGTTGTTAATGTACCTAACTGGATGCAATACTGTAGTAAAATGCTGAGAATTCCATTCTGTATCACAAGTACTGTTTTGGAATAAAGCATATTATTATTATTATTATTACAAAAAAGCCTCCTCATGAGTAGTGAATTTTCCATGTTGATACCTAACGTAAATATTAAAATCCCTGATTAAGTCATAGAATATAGTGTTAATATATCAGAGGGCGTATTCCCTTCTCAAATTATATTGTCGATATAAATGATCATAACAGAACATCAGAACTATGGAAGCATATATCAACCATAATTCGAATGATGTCGGCCCCAAATAAACGACCTGACACAACCAAGGGTGGGTAGACTTCAGTCATCCTCATGAAATGCTCTCAAGTGGTCACGCGTTCAAAGTCTCTCCTAGCTAGACAAGTCTTATTCCCTGCCTTCATGCGGAGGAGATGTTCCTCACAAAAGTGAGAGAGAGAGACTGAGTGTGAACATCTGGCACTTACAACCGGATTGGTCGACATGCAAGTCTACGTGGAACGGCTAAAAGACCTTGGATCCAAATCAATGATAGTGTACATGCGCTGCAGAATCAGAAAGGATCAAATGGTGTATAGATCTGTTTTATACATCAAAAACCATGGGAATGCAGCTCCACTGTCTTGTGGATCAGACTTCAACGCAAAAGATTGAGGTTTGCCCGCTTAAGACAACCACCTGCTTCATTCTTAGCATCCGGGTAGTGTATCTCCGCTCTTGCACAAAACATGAGATTTTGTTTGGCATATCTCCTGGTGCCTTGTGTTTTATTAATTAGTAATAATCCTATCATTCAATGAACACTAAAAACTACCACGACCACTTACCTGTTGTGCAGTGATCCGAGATTGCCGTTGTAACGTTAAAATACTGCGTTTATTTAATGCCTTCATAGATTTGGTAAAGTTTTTCCTCTCTATAGAATGTATAGTCTGTAGTTTACTGCGTTCCATGTTGATTGTCTAAAATGAACAAAATGAACGGGGTGTAAATCGTTAAATGTTATTAACAGAACAAAATCGATATTATTTGTACTGTACATTAGACTTAGACAACAAACAAATACAGACAAAAAACTGGTTGAAGAAACAGTGAAGAAAGGACTTCAAATGAACATACAAACCAAACTATAGATAATTAATCTGATGCTCGCTAGTGACTTGCTACAGGATGGAGTTTCCTGGAGTTCTAGTGAGAAGTCATGACCAGTGAGGTCCATCCAGATCTCACGTGTGTGGATGGATGTCCCACCAACGACAATGGTTGGGGTCGCGCTAAATCACAAATTGGTAGAAGTTAGAATTCATGAGTTGGTCATTGAATTGGGTCCCAGTGGCTGAATGGTATACGAGCTTGCTTGTCTTGTAACCGGAAGGTCCTGGGTTCGAATCCCGGTGGGTGCGTACTGCCGATGATTCCCAAACTAGGATGAAACAGCTGGTTGTCCAGTACTTCGTGGATGGTTTTCAATGGTTCTCTAACTGATATCAGTCCGTGATCAACTCGTAAAAACATTACAAACCCTTACAAACCAAACTATAGAACATAGAGAAGCCGGAGGTGATGAAGACAACCAACCAGTGAGAACGAGCACCAGTCACTATCAACGGAAGACATTTGTTATGTTTTCTATTAAATGGGATATCCGGCAAGTTTCAGCTTAGGTTCGGGAAAGATTAAGTTAAGATTTAGGCTAAAGACAGGTTAGGGTAAGGTTAACCTAGTGAGGATGACATTAGGGTTGGTTGAAGTTATATTAGGATTAGTTTATGGATTCCATTATGGGTAAATTTTGTTTTGATAAAGTCTCATAGTGTTATACAGTAATGTCTACTGAGGACGTTTCGAGCACGGTTTATTACTGCTCCTAATCATAACAAGGTAATCACACGACTTCCTAAATTCATTTATATAGTTCCGTTGTTTTTCACTTGATTTGATTGGTAGTAATATTTTCCATATTTCGGGTATGAGTGATGAATCATTCCTATTGCATGTGTTGGGTGTAGATTCGATGAACAAGAATTCAGTAATCAACCTCTCTCTCCACCTGCATAGATTACACCTTAGAATTTTAACCCTCTCACACCATGCTATTGTGTGGTTGTGTGTTAATGCATGTAATACATTGCAGTGCTTTTTTCTAAATTACTTATCTTCTCGCGGTCAACCATTCTTACCTTAGCTAAATTCTTATGTTCTGAAAATCTGACTACCCCTGACCTACTAGTTTGACCTATGTAGTTGATCTCAATCACAGTCATTGCAGGGTATTTTTTAAATTACATTATTTTGTCTAATTGGGTCAATCTACAGGGTCCTTTAACCTACACAGCTTGTCCTAACTGAGTGAGTTTGTAGGTTTAAATACCACCCTAATTCCTGCTTTATTTAGAATCCTACGCAGGGTCTCAGATTTCCCTTTTTTATATGGTATCGCTATCAATGCCTTGTATCCTCTCCTATTTATGCTATTATTACTAGTTTCACCATTCTTTTTCTTTTGACCTTTCTCAATCTTCCTAATGAATTTTAAAGAATAGTTATTTAACAATAACGCCTCTTCTATCTGTTTCAAGTCTTTTTTGCTACTTAGTGCCATCGCTCGGTTTGTTAAACACTAAACTAAGCCTAAGTTTAGGGATATTTTCACGTTAGGGTTAGAAGACCTAGATAATTATATGCATAGAATGTGGTTAAATTACTCTGTTGATATGCCAATCCAAAACTGAGTGGTATTTTCGTCACACGTCAGAGAAAGGCATCCTGTGTAACAGCTGCATGCCTTTTAATTTATTATTTTCATGAATATATACGTATTTTATACGCAAAAAATCGCTTTTATCATATGTCGTTGTTGCATTCAAGATCATTTGTCCGTTGGTGTACTTACTGGTGCTTAAAGTTTAACTTTGCCGGATGGCGTTATTAGAAGATGGAGATTATCTGATGTATTTTGCGAAAATACATTTCAAACAATCTGATCCCCCTTTTACTTACATTTACTTGCAAATTCGATGATATTAGATAGTTGGAGGCAATCGGTAGGAAGCCTTGGACCTAGGTTTCATGCTAGTTGGCACTCACCAGACAGCAAGGCGTATCTACAACCTTGAAGGAACTCATGTCCAAACAACCCATGCCTCAAACTATCTAATATCATCAAATCAATGTGCACCCTGATGGCGAGCTACTTAGAATGATGGCCACATTGCAAACCTGACTGATGGAATTCAGTCTACACCAAAGAAAGGACTAGACACGTCACACTAGTTATTAGTGTCCAATCAAGCTACTTGTCAGTCCAAATTATATGAAAGAATAAGGCCAATTGAAATAGACAAAATGACAAAAAAGATTTAAGCATAATTAACACGACGTTTGTGTAATTTTCATTCAAAAGAAAGAGACTTTCTGTGTATTATATAACCTTATGACCTTAAAATCTGTTGAGTCATATGGTGATTAATTTCTTTATTGTTGCATAATACTCAGTTGTTAGTTTGTGTCCTTGTATTCACTGATTTATTTATTTATTGATTTATTTCCGGAGTTGATTGCTAATCTCCCTTAACTACGCTGTAGATTGAGGCTGTTTTTGTTATGTGTCAACTGAACGATATTCAGTTGGAGGACAGTGTTTGAGCAATATATGTTCAAACCAAGTTCACGTCTAACAGTTTGAAAAAATTTGACCATTGGGTATATGATATTCATTATAATAAAGGTTTCTTTTGTATTTCCCAATGAATGAAAAACAATAACGATATTGTTGTTTCTACTGACGTTTCGCTACTTAATGCTGCTGCTAATAGCTTTATCAAAGTAGTATTATTAAACCAGAATTTACAAAATCTCAGCTTATATATAACAACTTTATCATCGTTCCTCAGCACGGGCTCATTTTTGAGTTGTCAAGTTGACCAATTGGTAAAGATAACAGAACCAGGTGTAGATTGTTCGATTTGATAAGTGTATAAAATTATAAAAGCAGCGTGTTGATTTTATCACTTCATGTGGGGAGGGGTGTGTGTTGTAACCAGGTCAAATTCTGTTTTTAGTCTATCATTCCTATTCACTTCAGACAATGTGGATTCCATTTGATATAAAGTGCCTCTGATGACATAAGACGTTCTTTGTGATTTCTGAAATTTTTCTAGATTATTTCAATATTGTCAAAATCAATTTTGTGGCCTGATTCTATAGCGTGTAGACCACTAATGGCTGGCCGATGATTTTTCAAGCTTTTCTAGTTCAACTGGATTTATCGGTTGTCGAACAGAGACGGCTCTACGGTGTTCATTTCTTCTGATTACCTTGATTTCTCTCTGGCGATGTTTGTCCGATGTATATCGCATCACATTCCAAGCAAGCATTTTATTTTATAGACACAATTAGATAGAGAATCTTTAAGGACTTGGTCTTTTATATGGACAAGGTTACTTCGCAGTGTGTCTGATGTATCTGAGATTTTGTAAATTCTGGTTTAATAATACTACTTTGATAAAGCTATTAGCAGCAGCATTAAATAGCGAAACGTCAGTAAAAACAACAATATCGTTGATTGTTTTTCATTCATTGGGAAATACAAAAGAAACCTTTATTATAATGAATATCATATACCCAATGGTCAAATTTTTTCAAACTGTTAGACGTGAACTTGGTTTGAACATATATTGCTCAAACACTGTCCTCCAACTGAATATCGTTCAGTTGACACATAACAAAAACAGCCTCAATCTACAGCGTAGTTAAGGCAGATTAGCAATCAACTCCGGAAATAAATCAATAAATAAATAAATCAGTGAATACAAGGACACAAACTAACAACTGAGTATTATGCAACATTAAAGAAATTAATCACCATATGACTCAACAGAGTTTAAGGTCATAAGGTTATATGATACAAAAAAAGTCTCTTTCTTTTGAATTAAAATTACACAAACGTAGTGTTAATTATGCTTAAATCTTTTTTGTCATTTTGTCTATTTCAATTGGCTTTTATTTTTCATGTAAATTGACTTGACAAGTAAAAGGGGGATCAGATTGTTTGAAATGTATTTTCGCAAAATACATCAGATAATCTCCGTCTTCTAATAACGCCATCCGGCAAAGTTAAACTTTAAGCACCAGTAAGTACACCAACGGACAAATGATCTTGAATGCACCAAGCACATATGATAAAGGCGATTTTTTGCGTTTAAAATACTAATTAAAAGGCATGCAGCTGTTACACAGGATGCCTTTCTCTGAAATGTGACAACAATACCTCTTAGTTTTGGATTGGAATATCAACAGAGTAATTTAACCACATTCTATGCATGTAATTATCCAGGTCTTCTAACCCTAACGTGAAAATATCCCTAAACTTAGGCTTAGTTTAGTGTTTAACAAACCGAGCGATGGCACTAAGTAGCACAAAAAAAGACCTAAATGATGAGATAAAACAGATAGAAGAGGCGTTATTGTTAAATAACTATCCTTTAAAATTCATTAGGAAGATTGAAAAAGGCCAAAAGAAAAAGAACGGTGAAACTAGTAATAATAACATAAATAAGAGAGAATATAAGTCATCTACAGTTATACCATATAAGGAAGGGACATCTGAGACCCTACGTAGGATTCTAAATAAAGCAGGAATTAGAGTGGCATTCAGACCTACAAACTCACTCAGTTAGGATAAGCTGTGTAGGTTAAAGGACCACGTAGATTGAAATGTGACAACAATACCTCTGAGTTTTGGAATGGTATATCAACAGAGTAATTTAACCGTATATCCTAGGTTCGATCCCATGTGAAGAGTGAGTTATAGTATAGGTGAACACTATTGAACGATGCCATACTAGAACGAAACAGCTATCCAGTGCTCCCCAAGTTTTCAATAATGAATGATCAATTCATAATCTAAAGTGAAATTTTCTAGAGATTTCGATAGTTTGTGCATCACTCCTATATCTCACTCTAATTGGCGATGTATACTGTTGTTGATGGAGTCTGAGAAGCACAGGTTGACAAGCTAGAATGCACTCGAATCGGATTTCGGCGGTGTTGCGACAACAGCGAACACAGGAAGTAATCACTTTCATAGATTAGAAACTAGTAAGAGCTGTTATTCAAAGAAAAGTTTCTTGACCAAAGTTATTGGCATAACCGGTTGAAGCTTCGATCGATATCTATGTGTATAAGCACAAACTATCAAAGCATGCACCAACTACTTTTTTTGAGAAAATATTTTATGTTTTAGCATCCTACGCAAAAAGACACAAAACGATGCCATGTTGGACCACTTTTTTTGATGTAGTGGTGATTCGCAATTTCTCTCAATAATTAATTATAATAATAACAATAATAATAGAGTGTAGGCGCATGTCTATCGGTCATATGATATAGGCTGACTATGATTTATTGAAATCTAGTGAAATTAAATGAAGAGAGATGAGATGAGATAAAACAGAGACAACAAACGAGAAAATCACCGTGAGAAAATACCTAAACAATATGTGTTTGATATATGATTGGAAGCTTTCGAAAGACTGATATTAGTGTGCACAAAGGAGTATCAGACATTGTCAGATTGTCTTAGCATCTGCACAAGCAGTCGACATGTCAACCTCTAAGGCCGAGCAACCTCGGTCTAATCAATCCACGGGAACGTTCAAATTGAATTAAATATAGAAGGAGTATTCTTTTCTATAGTTGGTTTGTAAGAATTTGTTTTGTTTTTACCGAGTTGAGCAAGGATTGATATCAGTTAGAGAAGCATTGAAAACCAGTCAGGGAGTACTGGATAGCTGTTTCCTCCGTCCTAGTTTGGGAATCATCGGCAGTACGCACCCACCACCAGGGTTCGGACCCAGGACCTATAAAGGAAGCTAATCCTTACAAACCAACTATAGAAAATTAATCTGATGCTCGCTAGTGACTTGCTACAGGACAGAGTTTCCTGGAGTTCCAGTGAGAAGTCGTGACCAGTGAGGTCCATCCAGTCAAGTTAGGGCAAGCAAAGTTTCCTAGTGATCGCCCCAAACCACCTAATATTATTAGTATTATTTATTGTTTCCTTTAATTCCTAGAGGAACATAGGGCTTCAACAGTGCGTCTCCATTGCGTTCGGTTCTCTGCTAGAGTCTTCACCTGGCTCCAAGTCTGCCCACACGCTTTCATCTCCTCTTCACATCACCTCCTCCAAGTCACCCTCGCACTGACGACCAACTCGCCACTTCCCTTTCGGGTTCCACTCAAGCAATGGCTTGTCTAGTGATGTCACTTGATGGTTTCCTCAGAGTATGGCCAGCCAATCCATCTCCATTTCTTCCTGCCTATTTGTTTCACAATCGGTTCCTGCTGTGTTGGTTCGCTCCCAGAGATCTCTGTTGCTGATCTTTTCTGGCCATCTGATCCTGAGTACTGAGCGAATACCAATGTGTTAATTTCCATGCAATTGTCATTTTTAATTTTTCTTAATGGTAACCATTTCTGAACGATACTCATCATCTATTCCTTTTAGATTACGTAATTCACAATTTTGCTTAATATTTAAATTCATACGTTTTGTTACCAATGCATATCACATTTGGTAATTATTCAAAAACCAAAGCCCAAGAAAGACGGAAGGTTAAAAAATGAGGCAAGCGACCCCATCTCAAGCGAAAACACAACAACACCACAAGCTACTGAAAATTCAATGATCAAGCCTGAAGCCCAGTTAGATTCCAGTTAGACAATGCAAAGGAATAATTAAAAAAAGAGAGAGAGAGAAACACCACCACCATTCGTACAACTTACCTGTTTTAATTCAGTCAATTCAAGTTCTGATCGACCAGTTAATTGTTCTCGTTTAATCATAAATAAATCCAATAGACGATTTCTATCCAACTGGTGTTTCATGCATAAATAACGTTGTTCCAATTTCCATTTGTCTTCTTCAAAATCTGTAGGTTTAGTTAATTATAATGATGCAACATTTTCATAGTGAGGTAAGTTAAAAAAAAATAATAAAAGAAAGTAGAAGAGGAAAATGAATAACACCTGTAATTCACATAATTTACAAAAAACAACGGGAAGAAGTAACAACTGAATGATGAATATGTGTACCACATTAAACCCGTATCGGAGTCGAAACATACTGACTGAGTCAATAGAATAAACTCACGAATAACTTTGTGGAGGCTAATAACAGTTTGCGTGGGTAATAATACCTTATCAACAGTTGTCTTCACTGGTTCCATTTGCTTTCCTTTGCGTTCCCAGTGGAACATAGGGCTTCAAGCTAGAGCTCTGAAGTTTTGGGTAGCAGCGGTCTTATTTTATGCCCAACCTTTCTCCTCTTTGCTGGTTTATTACCAACTGAGCGAGGTTTAGGGGTGCGTCGGCCGGGGAACGACCAAATCTCAGCACGAATACAGAGGGCTAGTTTCGCATATGCCGTCTCTGGCATAGACGCGATATCCGACTATCGACCAAAGGGCGTGTGTACTGCTCATCAGTCCGCTCCGTCCTTCTTTATGGCTCTGAGACCTGGTCATTGAGAGTGGAAGATACAAAAAGCCAGGCTAGCTGTCTTTGATCACAGCTGTCTGCGTTCTATCTCCCGTGTTAAGTGGTATAATAGGGTGAGTAATATTGAGGTTAGGCTTCAGTTGAGTGGTAGGTAAGGAGGTGAAATCAATAGACAAGGCTGTGAAGTTACATCGACTGAGATGGTTAGGACATGTGTTACGTATGCCTAGTCATTGCCTTCCTCGACGGGCAATATCAGCTGATATAGGGTCAGGCTGGAAAAGAGATAGTGGCGGTCAAACCAAAACATGGCACCAGTCAATGAAATCTACAACAGTTAGTCTAAGCCACGTAGGAAGGTGTAGACTGGCTTCCTGGTTGGGGTCCTCGAGATGGTAAACACCAATGGTTGGAAACAATTGGTGACATGGCTCAAAATCGTTCTCAATAGCCAACGCAGATGCATCCACTCCTTGTGACTTATGATTTCCAATGAAACTGTTTTGTTCTTCGTTATTACTATCCATTTGTCTCACACCTCTGTTTACTGTCTATATTATGCATTTCTCCTACTTTCTTCTCTTCCTTTGTGTGCTACAAGGAGGGAGTGTGGCGACTTGAACTGCCGCACATATGTGCAAAGTTCTATGTCGAAAACAGAGAGACCGTCGAATGTCAACGCGCGCTAAGTTATACCTCGAGTAGAATGTGAACAGGAAACGCCTAGTGGGGCGTCCGAGGGTTCATGGAAAAGATCATCCGAGGAGGAGAAGAGAGGCTATGGCCAATTGTGAGACCAGAAAATAGGACAAAGTGGAGATGTTCTGCTGAAGCCGTGTATGTTCCACTCGGAACCCAAAGGAACAATAATAATAATAATAATACAGTCACGAAGAATGAATTGTTTTGATTACTAAACAAGGGGCTTTGGAATTTCTGTAGAGATTGGGTTAATGTGTTTACGTTAACAATAGACTGACAAAAGCAAAGACACTGGAGGATGTAGACCTCGCAGATGTCCCATATTTTACACACCCGAAAATTTACTAGCAAAACGCAACAAGTTGGCATAAGAGGCAGTGAACACAGAATTTCAATGATAAATAACTACATCAACGGAAGAAATCTAAGTGAAGTTGCCTTCACTTTCCTGACCTAGGCAGCATCGCCTCAACTACAAACCTCACACCAATGAGGATGTCCTCGGTAAGATCGGAAAAGCAAGACAGACATTAATTATTAATCTGAAATCAGTAAGGAAATTTACTAAACTTTACATCCGGATCGTCAAGTCAATACTTTTATGTGGTTCAAAGAATTGGCGAGCGCATCACTAAAAGCCCTCGCAACAGGCTACTGCAAATTTTTACTAACAACTGCCTTTGCTAAATACCAGACGGCCGGACGATCAAAAAGGATTAGCTGCAATCTCTATGATCAAATCCAACCAACAGGTTCAATAACACCTAGGTTTACCAAAGATACACAAAGTTGGTCACCCACTCCGTCCAATTCCGGCTATGTCAATTTCCCCTTATCACGCTGTTGCAAGATGGTTGGATGATATTCTGGAACCTGTAAGGAAACATCTATGCACCTTCCAACTCACTGACTACATACAAGATAAGAATGCTGTCTTTCGACATCGAATCACTTCTCACCAATATCCCACTTGCAGAAACTATCTGTTATCTATGTAAACATATAGATGATAACCAGTTCAACATTGGAATATCAACAACATATTTAAAAGAACTGCCGATTAGATGTACTCTCAATGTACAATCTACTTTCAATGACACCATCTATAGACAAAAGAATAGTATTGCAATGGGATCCCCGTTGGGTCCATTACTAGCAGACTGTTTTATGGCTAGCCTTGAGAAGTAGTCCATTGATGATCTACAAATATATAAACGGTATGTAGATGACATTTTCATCATTTGCGGCAATGGCTATTACCCCAATCAACTGCTACAAGTACTTAACAACTGCCATCCAGCAATAAAATTCACTCGATAAATGGAAAACGAGTCCAGAATCTCCTTCCTTGATGTGAGATTAACGAAACGACCCGACAGAACCTTAAGCAGGTCAGACCATAGAAAACCTACTTGTGAACGGTCAACTAACAAGTTTCTACAGTTGGGTGCCGGTTGAATGAAAACAAAATCTAATTAAATCCATGCCACTCGGATCCGACACATCTGCAGTCCTGACACCCTGGAAGCAGAACTGGATCTTCTGAAAGAAACCTTCATCCAAAATGGATACCCACCAAGATTCATTGACAAGAATATCAGACCAAAAATCCAGATGAATTAAACACTACCTATTCCAAAAAATAAACTGCACATGAATCTGGATTTCAAGGGAGACTTAGCTTGCGATATCCTTAAAAGAAGAATTTCAGAATATTTGAAAAGAACATTCTTCGCAGCAACGTTAAGAGTAGTGTTCTCTAGTCGTCCATTGGTCTGCAGAAGCCTTAAGGACAAGATCTCACATCTGACCACTTCTATGTGGATATATCAGTTCACCTGCTGCGGTGGAGCCAGGTAACACATTAGTCGTTCGACGCGCATCCTGTCCAAAAGGATTCGAGAACACTATCCCGCATGGCTCTCCAAGAAGTGTGATTATCGAACACCTTGTCAACACTAAGCATTCCATCTCAAACAAACGCCTCATTCAAAGTAATCTACATAGTCAAGAATAACCTACCAAAGGCAATACGCTTTCGTCTCTTTTGTATTACTGAAGCCTTAGCCATTCACAGTTGGAAAAACCAGAGTTATGCATACAAATGAAAGATATTCCAACCACTTCTACTATCATAAGAAAAACCTAACTGATGTCTACTGACTTGATGTTTGTGTGCCTGCTTTTCTAACTCCTTATAACTCTTGTATTTCTTTACAATTCTTGTATAATTCCAAATTTTCCTTCGTTTCTACTTACATCCCAATCAAAACTCACCCAATTAAATAATTCATCTTGTTACGTAACTATAATACACTTAATCAACTTCTTTTATGCATTGACTAACATTAACAACTATGCTTTTTTGACAACTCACTAATCTTCACCCCCCCCCACCCCTATCTAGTTACAATTTGATCACTCATCACATTTTTATAAAAGTATTTCGATGACGTAAACAATAACCCCAACTAATTTTTATTCTTGTCTAACAAACCTAATGTACACACACGCACACATCCAAGAATAATTATATATAACTGCAATTGTACAGCTAAAGAGGTGGATGAATTCACTAAATAAAAAGACTCTTCACTCAACTACGGTATTTTGTTTTCATTAATGTCTGAATGAGGATTATTCACAAATTGAAAAAAAAAGAATAAGCAACAAGGAACCTTGACAGGCGATGAAACAATTATGCATCTGTCACCCGAAAAAAAAAGTGTGCAGAATGAAATAGCGATGGATTACACGTACGCTGAGGAGACAGTGAAGTCACATCATATAACAGACAGGAGTGCCTCAACAGGAACCCGGATGAATAATATATAACAACTGACTGACTGGTTTCAACATACAACTTTGCACAGATGTGCACCAGTTCGAGTCGCCACACTTCACTCAGCACACAAAGCAAGAGAAGAAAAGTAAAAAGAAATGCTAAATAGAGACAGTAAACAGAGATATGAGGCAAGAAGAATAGTAGTATCGAAGAACCATACAGTTTTATTGGGTATTATAAGTCACAAGGAGTGGATGCATCTGCATCAGCCATTAACAACGAATTTGAGCCGTATCACCGATTGTCTCCAACCGCCATTAGTTTTTACCGTCCTAGAAACTCCAACCAGGAAGCCAATCTACACCTCCCTAGGCGGCAGCTGGCTTAAACTAACTGTTGTGGATGTCATTGACTGATGCGATGTTTTGGTCTGACCACCACTAGCTCGTCTTTTCCAACCTGATCAATCCTATGTCAGTCAGCTAACATTGCCCGTCGAGGAAGGCGATGCCTGGATAGGCATACGTAACACATGTCTTAACCATCTCAGTCGATGTAACTTCACAGCATTGTCAATTCATTTCCCCTCCTTACCTAGAACTCGCAGCCTAACCTCAATATTTCTCACCCTATTATACCACCTAACATGGGAGATAGAACGCAGACACCTATGATGAAAGATAGCTAGTCTGGCTTTTCATGTCTTCCACTCTCAATGGCCACGTCTCACAGCGGACTTCTGAGCAGTACACACGCCCTTTGGTCGATAGCCAACCGGAGATCACGTCTACGCCAGAAGCAGTGTAAACTGGCATGTGAGAAACCAGGTTTTTGTATCCATGCTGAGATTTCGTCAGCGATCAACCCGCTGGCACTGGCTGACGCAACTTCGCGAATAAGTGAAGTGATCAACGTGTTCAGCCACTTTACTCCCTATTTCTAAGCTAGGAGTCAGTGTAGTACAGTCCTGTAACATTAAGGGAACAATATCATCCGAACAAGTGTTTTTTTAATACCTTTACGTTCCCAATAGAACATAGGGCTCCAAACTAAAGGCTTGAAGTTTCAGTAGCAATGGTGATTTATTTTTACGGGATAGGGTTGTTAGCCTCATGCCCAACCTTCCCTCTTTTTCAGTCTTATTACTGGTGTAGCGAGTTAAAGGAGTCCGTCGGTCGGGGATCGAACCCCGGACCACATGAGGCGTGGTCGGCGAGCATTCTACCGCAGTGCCACGGACAAGCGCGTCTTAATAATCCAATTTCTTACTTCAACTCGTGACTATACATGACAGTCACATTATATCACATATACTTCAAAAGAAATCAAAAACTTACTCAATCGTAGTGTATGCGTTTCACTAAGATTTTCATTGCGCAGTACACTTCGACGTCGATTATATTCACTGTGTAATTCATAAATACGACTATTGACACGAGAGGCTTGATCTTCACGGAATAAAGTTAAACGTTGACAAACCAGAGAGTTAGTCGACTGATTTGAATTTAATGATGCTAATGATGAATTCGATTTTACAGTATCCTGATCAAGTTTATTTAATTCACGTTTAGCAGCTTTACGCATTGCACGATCATACGTGTCAATTTCACTTTTTAAACGATCTTTAAATGTCCGCTCTTCTTTGGACTACAAAAACAAAGCAAAAAAAGAATATGAACGGAATAAATATATGCGTAAAACTTGAGCACTGCGGTAGTAAGTAATTCCATATTAGTTTGTCTATTAGATATATCACACAGTGAAACAGTATTAGTATTTACTGGATGACGTTTCGAACAAAATTTATTGTTCATAATCATATCAATTGTAATCACACGACTTTGACACCTAAGTTTTATAGTTTCTATAGTTTGGTTTGTAAGGATTAGTTATGTTTTACGAGTTGATCCTTTGTTTTCTCCTATTACTCGTAGGGGTACTAGAATTTTCCAGATATCTGGGACATGTGATGAATCATTCCTATTATGTGTATTTGCAGTTGATTCGATAAACAAACCTTCCGTTATATATCTCTCCTCCCATCCTGTGACGTGAGATTTTAAAACTGTCATCCTATCCCATCTTATTGTATGGTTGTGTGTAATTGCATGTAGTGAGTGCTATAGCTGGACTATTCTCTAGATTTCTTATCTTTTTTGGATCAACCAATCTAGTGCGTCGGTGGTATCGCGGTTAGGACGCCCGCCGACCATGCACATGGTCCGGGGTTCGATCCCCGGCCACAGACGCACTCCTTTACCTCGCTGAGCCAGAAATAATGCTGGTGAAGAGGAAAGGTTGGGCATGAGGCTAGCTACCCCATCCTGTAAAATAAACACTGCTACAGAATCTTCAAGCCACTAGCTTGAAGCCCTATGTTCCACTGGGGAACGTGAAGGAAAAAAATCTAGATTTGATGTTCAGCTAGTTTGACTACCCCTGTTCTACTAGTTTGACCCATGTATTTGACCTGACAATAATTCAAGCAGGGTATTAGATAAACTAAATTGTTGTTTTAAAGGCTCCACAGGATCTTTTAACCGACAAAGCTTGTTTCTAATTGAGTTTGTGGGTTTGAATGCCATTTTTATTCCTGCGTAAGGTGGTTTCCGAGGTTCCTTCCTTGTATGGAATTACTACTGATGATTTAGATTCCTTATTGTTGGTGTGGTCATTAATATTATTATTACTATCACTATTATTATAGTTATTATTGTTATTATCACTATCGCTACTATCATTATTTATTTTATTTTTACATTTCCTTACATATTTCTTCGTTAATTTAACCGGGTAATTGTTAAGTTTCAAGGCTTCTTTTATGTGTATTACTTCCTGTTCTAAAACAGGAACAATTGATATGATTATGAGAAATAAATTTTGTTCGAAACGTCATCCAGTAAATACTGATACTGTTTCACTGTGTGATATATCTAATAAACAAACTAATATGGAATGAACGGAATAAATATTATGCTTACTCTTCAATAGTTTATGAAACATCATCAAACATTATAATGATATTCTATTTTATTTTAGGATTCTCTTGTGTTAGAGACAACCTGCCTGACTTACTTTCAACGCAGAACTTTGCATAGAAGTGGCACCACTTCAAGATTTGATTGATTACAGGATTTCATCATGAACCGACATCGGTTAGAGAACCATTGAAAAACCAGCAAAGGAGTACTGGACAGCTGTTTCCCCTTAGTTTGGGACTCTTTATCAGTATGTACCCACAACCGACAACCTTCCGGGTAGGAGGCGAGCTTGTAGACTATTACGCCACTGGGACCCTATCAAATGGGTTCTAGTGGGAAGTCGTGACCAGTGGGGTAAAGCACCTTGGGTCTGACAATGGTTCTCTAACCGATGTCAGTTCATGATGAAGAACTATAATAGGCAGAAATGTACGGGGGAAACGATAGTAACTTGGAAAATTATGAAGGTTTAATGGAGCTGAAATATTACGAAGACTGAATGCTTCTACGCCATGGAGAAATATATTGAACCATATTCATCAATAGTCTCAAGCTATTGGTCCTTAGAATCTCAAAGATCCCAACCAGGCAGTCCTCCTCACCTCTCCATATCGCTCAATCCACCATTCAAAGACTTGGTGGATTGGTGCCATGTTTTGATTTGACCACCCCTAACTCTTTTCCGACGTAATCGAATGTCAGCTAACATTGTTTGGCGAGGAAAGCGACGACCAGCCACGCTTGGTATGTGTCGCAGACATTTTAGTCGAAGAAGCTTCACAGCATTATTGATTGACTCTCTTTCCTTAGATAACACTCTACACCTAACCTCTTCGTATCTTCCACATTTTGACAACCACGTTTCACACTCATAAAGTAGGACAGAGCAAAGTGTTATGTAGTACTCACATCCTTTGATCGATAGTCAGATATCAGGTCTACACCAGAGATATCATAAATTGACAAATAGAAAAGAAAAGGCGTTCAGCAAAGAGTTACTCTTTTCGGCGATATCATTCTCAAGCTGCACAAATCGCAAATTTATTGTAATTTATCTTGGCAACAAAAGGAATATTTCCAAAGATGTGTTAATGCAATTGTTAATTTTTGACAACAAATTACATAATTTAGAAGGCGTTAATCGGTTAGAAACTAAAATAAAGTTACAAAAGTAGGTTGGGTGACGTAATCTAATTGATAGGGTTCAATGAAAAATGAATGAGAGTCAAGTTAATAATCTGAGTAGAATTCACTTGCCAAAAGAGTACGAATTAAACTTCTTCAAACTGCAGAAGCAATGGCAATTCACATATTGAATCCTGTACTCTGCATACAAAAGAAGTTTGTTCAGTCACTAAATCTACAATGGTCCTGATCTATCTCAACACCAAATACGTAATTTTGTCTTACCTCTTTCTTCTCCGCATTATTTTCTACCCCCACCCACTATTAAATCTCTACCCTCATGACGACTGTTGCTAACTCCATTTTCGTTTATTTTCAAGTGAATTCTACTCAGCTTATTAACTAAACTCTCATTCATTTTCAAGTGAATTCTACTCAGATTATTAACTTGACTCTCATTCATTTTTCATTGAACCCTATCAATTAGATTACGTCACCCAACCTACTTTTGTAACTTTATTTTAAATCATGGAAAATTCCCATTGTAACATATAGAAAATCAAAACAAATGATTCAGCGAAGAGACTCTTTTCAACGAATTTATCATCAAGCTGTACAATCGTATATATATGGTTTTTAAGAAGTTATATCCGGTGAGGAAATTGAAACATAGGTGTGAATGCATGAAATAATAATAATATGAAGTGCAATTAAAACTAAAATGTTTGTGATTATAATAGTAGTTAAATGTCAAGTGGCAAAGCAAATTAATGTCATATATAGAATAATTCATAGGATGGATAGAACTTGAAAAGGGTGTGCAATTATAGGATTAGTAGACAAATCGAGTAAAATAAAAACTTTATTTTAGTTTCTAACCGATTAACGCCTTCTAAATTACGTTATTTGTTGTCAAAAATTAACAATTGCATTAACACATCTTTGGAAATATTCCTTTTGTTGCCAAGATAAATTACAATAAATTTGCGATTTGTGCAGCTTGAGAATGATATCGCCGAAAAGAGTAACTCTTTGCTGAACGCCTTTTCTTTTCTGTGACTGAATGGGAATTTTCAAATTGACAAATCTCATAGGGGTCAACCACTTCACTCTTTATCTGCAAACTAGGGTTCAGTTCGATTCTGCAGTATCATGTGACATTTGACAAGGGGCAAATCGTATGCTAAACATACGATGATCACTGCGCTTCAATGTTTTTTTTTTTTGGTTTTTTGATGGCTGTCAGAAGTACACGATTACAAAATAATTTCGAAACCCTGTAAATAATTCCTTTCTAAATAAGTGAAAACTAGAGATTGACGTTTTACAGATAAACCGAAAGAGAATTGAATAGCAGTATAGGGCTGTCAAATTTCATGCCATATCAACAGCATACAGGGAATCTGAATCTAAACCAAGAACAACAGTGTGGTTTGTGCAGAATAAGATGGTACCATCATTGTTTATTTCGCTGGCTTCTCATCAGCTGCTGCTTACAGCCTAAAGATATCATTGCTAAGTTTATGTACAGAAACAATTTCAACATACTTGCAATTCTCACATGATGTCAGTTGACAGAGTGTTCAAGTTCTTATTTCCCATCTGATTGGATTGTATTTTATTGATAACACTAATATTATTATTTCCGAACGTACTTTATCTTATATTGATTTTTATTCACATATCTAATCATCAATTTTTACTCATGTACATACATGAAGCAAGAGAGTTGTGTGAGTAGTGCCTTGATATGATTATGAGCAGTGATAATTTGTACTCGAAACGTGGTCATCAGTTAATATTATTACTGTACAACACAGGGTGATTTATCAAAATACAATCTTATCCATAATGGTGTTCAAGTTTAAACCACACTTAACAAAAAAGACAAAAAACGGACGCTTTACAAAACTCACTGTTTCTGATCGAATACGTTTCATTTCCAATTCGAATTCTTTATCTAACCGTTCCATTTGTAGTTTACAATTGCGTATAACAACTTCCATTTTCTGATCATATGATTTGGTCAAGGCCTATAAAATAATATAGAACATAACATGTGAATCAATAATAATAATAATAATGTCATGATGTTGTTAAATATGATGAGAAAAATTATGAAGAAGTATTAATCACGATAATAACAAAAATCGATGTCGTTAGCATCCAGACTAAGCTCAATTTCGAATTGTAAAATTCAACCCGGAAGAAATTGAAGTGATGAATGGATCAAAGGATCCTTTTTTTAAGGATTTGGATCGAATTCAAAGTAGATTTCGTCACGAATCAACATCAGAGTTAGGGAGAGAGAGATCACTGAAAACCAGAATGAAGTGTTTCCCTCTTAGATTGGGTCTCCTCAGCAACGCTCACCTGTCCAGTGAGTGTCCCCTGGTTTTCAATGATCTTTATTAATCAGTTACAGAACCACTAGAAAACCTGGGAGTATGGGTAGTTGTTTCATCCTAGTTTAGGACTCTTCATCAGTACGCACCCACAGCCAGAGTTCGAACCCAGGACCTTCCGGTTACAAGGCGAGCTCGTAGATCATTGAGCCACTGGAACCCGATCCAATGGCCAACCCATGAATTCTAACTTCTGCCAATTCACGACATAGCGCAACCATTTCGCAATGTCTTCTTCGAAGAGTTACTGTCTCATCTTCAACCTACTGTTCACGGCTTCCCACTGATGTCATGATGAAATCCTCCATCCAATCAAACAAAATCCCTACAAAACCAATACTTGAAAATTAATCTGATGCTCACTAGCGACTGGCCGTATTCAGGCAGTGACCTGGGTTTCTAGTGGGAAGTCGTAACCATTAGGGTGCAGCAGGTTGAAGATGATGACAGTTAATCATCGAAGAAGACATTGCGAAATGGTCGCGCTATGTCGTGAATTGGTAGAAGTTAGAATTCATGGGCTGGTCATTGGATCGGGTCCCAGTAGCTTTATGGTCTACGAGCTCGCCTTGCAACCAGAAGGTCTGGGTTCGAACTCTGGTGGTGGGTGTGTACTGATGAAGAGTCCCAAACTAGGACGGATGAAACAGCTGCCCAGTACTCCCAGGCCGGTTTTCCAATGGTTCTCTAACTGATGTCAGCTCATGATGAAATCTTCCATCCAATCAAAGAAAATCCCTACAAAACCACTACTTGAAAATCTTTATAAATGATTTTGGTTCTTAACGCAATCGATATTCAAATTAGCCCTAATCCCTACAAAAGCCACAATCTAAGCATCAATTTCCAGCTCATTGATAGCTACTGGATAGATGTCCTGCGAAGTTGTCACCGGTGAGTACACCATCATATCAAGGTGAAGTGGATACTCACTGGAGGTACTAGTTGAGGAGAGAGAGAGAGAGAAAGTGAGAGTTCACGGGTCATTACATCCCCGCTCAAGTTGGTGAATGGTCAACAAGCTTAGACTAGTAGCTTGAAAGTCTTGGATCCGATCGCTGGTGTGGTTGTGAGTGTACACTGATGGAAAGTCTCAAACTAGTGTCCTCTGGTTCTCAATGATCTCTCTCTAACTGATATCTGTCACATGGACACATTGCTTGGAAAATCCCTCTTGGACGACCTATTTATAATATCTATACTTACTTCGGCATAAAATGGACTCACATAAAAAACTTGGACGACCTGGACTTCGCCGATGATATATGTCTGATTTCCCACATACTGGGAGATATGCAAGCGAAAAGCAACAAGCTGGCAGAAGAAGCATCCAGAGAAGATAAAATTTCAGGTGAACATAGAGAAAATAGAGGTGATGAAGATTCCTGGGCAACACCACCAACAGCAACAACAACAACAGACAACAATCAGCATAAATGGAAGGAACCTGAAAGAAACAAACTCCTTTACCTAACTACCTGGGAAGCATCGTTTCAACTACAGGCGGAACTGACGAGGATATCAAAGCAAGAATCGGAAAAGCAAGACAAGCTTTCACTACTCTCAAGTCTGTGTGGAGGTCAACAGCACTCAGCATCAAAAATAAGATCCGGATTTTCAACTCCAATGTGAAGTCAGTGCCACTTACTATACGGATCAGAGACTTGCACTGCGCGTCATAAAGAGCATCTCAAACAAACTACAGACCTTCATTAACAGTTGTCTTCGCTCAATACCACTCAAGATCAGATGGCTGGCCAGAAAAGATCAGCAACAGGGATCTCTGGGAGCGAACCAACCAGGAACCGATTGTGAAACAAATAGGCAGGGAGAAATGGAGATGGATTGGCCATACTCTGAGGAAACCATCAAGTGACATCACTAGTCAAGCCATTGGTCGAGTGGAACCCGAAAGGGAAGTGGAGAGTTGGTCGTCAGTGCAAGGGTGACTTGGAGGTTTTGGAGCCAGGTGAAAACTCTATCAGAGAACCGAACGCAATGGAGACGCACGGCTGAAGCCCTATGTTCCTTTAGGAATTAAAGGATACAATAATAGTAATAATAATTACTTCGGCATTTCACCTAACTTTGTAATTATTATACGTGTCCCCTCCTCGCTAGACTGTGTATCGATAACTTGATATTTGCATTTCACATGTTGATTTTTGACCTTTACAATTTTCTATGGTTGCTTCGTAAGGATTAGATTTGTTTTTACGAGTTGATCACGGATTGATATCAGTCAGAGAACCACTGAAAACCTTTGTCCTCGCTTAATCTTTTTAATTGTAATACTTCTGTTTTTATGATTGTGTGTACATTTACAGTGTGTTGTTTAACGATGTGAGATTGTTTGAGTGCTGAAGGTGATTCTGACCAGGGAAGTTTTGTTGTATGACTCTTGTGGACAGAGAGCTCTTGATCCCCCCCCCCCCATTCGTTGGGAATATTCTCCTCGATTCTATGGTGACCTTTACAGATGAACTTTGGCTAAATAATTTTGTTCTACAGTACTTGTTTTGTATTTAGAAACCAACATTGCTTGTGTATGTATCTGCCTCACGGCACTGTTGAGGTAAATTTGAGTTTTTGATGTTACTAATGTGGTGAGAGCTGGCTGCTAGCCAAAGTTGATAGACAGTAATTGACGTCAGTGTTTATGACCCCAATATTGGTGGTGAGAAAATGAGAACAAAGGCTTTGCGTAGGCGGATACAGTTAGCATATGGATGATCTGACACAGCCACAAAGAGACGCAAGGTTAACTTTCTGTGAGAAACAACTGATCAAAAGACTGTATTTTCTACTAACCATAATCTATAATAATGTACATTAAAATCTATAAATATGTGTCGATTTTCCTTAATAAACGATCTGTTGCCTGGCCCTTGTCTTCTGTTGTTACACTATTATTTAATAGAACCGCTAAAACATAGGAAAACAATCATCTTTTCGCTGCATTTGGAACGCCTCGTGATAGCGCATGTCTTAACAAAGTTTTGTCGGCTATACAGTATAACACAGAGATCGGTTTCTTGCGTTGAGACACCATAACCGAATAAATTTGGTTGTAACGACGAAATCCACATGGAAAGCTAACGGATGTTCAGTTCGAAAAACAACAGTAGTGTGTCAGCTGTCAGTCAGGGATCACTATGCAAATATACACTACAAAGTACACTCAATCCGATTTCAATTTACACACACACACACCTGATAGATCGATACACATAGACAGACGGGTAATCACAAACTGACATGTGTATATTACGCTTACCTCACATACCAAACCAATGAAGTAATATCAGTGAGCATTTTCTTGACCTTGACTTATATTGTCCAAATGACTGACCTTTAGTGTTATATTTTTTTATTTTAGCACAAAAAAATCAATAAATCATTTAACACTAGTGATTACAAATCACTCTGTTCAACTTAGACGACATAAAAACTCAAAAAAAATACTTAACAAAGCAAAAGTTATGAACAGAATTATGCACATTCTCCTTCACACCCCCCCCCCTACCTCCATTTTTAGAGATTACAGCTCAGTGGCACAACTAATAGGATATTAAGGAGTGGTTGAAGTTACGTAATGACGTTTACACTTTACGTAATGTAGACAACAAAGGCGTGTTGCATAAGTGTGTGTGTGATGCAGAATCATCACAATGACAATGCCTAAATCTGTCGATAATGCCAAAATTTTATCAATACAACGAAGAAAAACATGTCATGAGTAGACTAGAATTTAACAATACTGGGAAATTAATCCAACTATGACGTAACTTTACATTGAACTTGATGATATTATTCGGGTGCTTTGACCTCCAGAGTGAATTGATCTGTAACATCCAGGACCTGTGGTTCGACCCACAGTGGATAATACTTTGTGTCTCAGCGGAAACACCCACAAGTACATTCCAGTTAACGACCTGGATTCTGCTCTTAGATACCACTGTACTTCGAGTTATTTAATTCTGAACTGAACAATACTCGCAAAACAATGGGTATCTGATAAGCCTCGGAAAAAACGGAAAGAATGCTACAGAACTAACTGAGTGCCATTCAACTACTGCAGCCATAAACGGACCTAGTATGGCAAAGGGAGAGTACACTTAGGTCTCCATTACGAAATGCTCTCATGTGGCTAAGTAAGTCCTATTCACTGAAGAAGGTGGCGTGGTGTTCCTCACAAGAGTGAAAGGGTGAATGCCAACATCTGGCTCTTACGACCGGACTAGTGGACATGTAGATCCACCTAGGGGAACTAGTAGACCCTGATTCCAAACTTGTAGTAGTGTAAATGGGCTCCAGTATCTGAAAGGAGAGAATGGTTACTGGAAACTATGAAAACGTAGCTCTTGACACTGCTCTACTGCCCTGTGGACACGACCTCAAGTCAAAGGTTTGGGTAGAGGATGACAATTTAAGACAATCGCCTGCTTCTGTTTACGTGTCGTTCAGACAGTAACTTAGGATTCGTACAAATTATGACACAACAATCACTAAGGAACTTCAATCGCGCGCACACTTAGCTACAACGCTAAGAGCCCCCATTAGTGACACGACAACTAATCAAACAACTAAGACATAGTGAATGCATCGAAATGCTTTACTGTGACGTAAATGTACCTAACGAGTTATACTTTTAGGAATTTACTGAACAGGAAGCATGTATATAAGTGAAATATCAAACACCAATTAACCTGCTTGATTATTGTGCTTTATCCCCAACTACAAGCAACAATTTTAAAGGAAGTATATCACCAGAGGAAGAATAATGCGAACTTCTGTTTAGATTATTTAATGCCAATTGAAATATTTACTTTCCTAAAGTTCTGCGTCGAAGACAAGTAGTAAGCATTAGGGATATCTTATAGGCAGAAGCATTTAATTATCCTCTGATCTGTTGCATAATAACTGGTTTAGGTATTCTGTTTATTTTAAATATGATCTGGAGTGTACCTCAGACTTTATAAAGTGATGCAGTTGTAATTGTATATCGAAAAGAACAAAGATATATGATAATATGATCTATCAATTATTATTATATTATTATTAGTCCCTTGGGTTCCGAGTGGAACATAGAGTTTCTGCCATCCTCTTCAGCTGGATCCGCAACTGCCCATAATCGCCCATCTCCTCCCCCCCCACCACACGATCTCCTTTATGTCACCCTCACACCGACGCGCCCCCCCCCCCAACGCTTCCCGTTCAGATTCCACTCCAACTATAGCCTGGTGCGCGATGTCATTCGACGGCCTCTTCAACGTGTACCCAATTCATCTCCATTTTATCCTACATATTTGTTGAGCAATCGGCTCTTAGTTGGTTTGTTCCCAGCCAGAGTTTCTTGTTGCTAATTCTTTCTGGCCAGCCGGTTGACCATTTCATCTTCAGTATGGAGCCAGCCAGCCAGCAAAGGAGGCAGCTTTTGATAAAAGTCTGTTTCTTGTTGGAAATGCTTTTCTTGGCACGCAGTGCACGTTTTTGACCCGTATAGAAGAACCGACTGGCTGACTTCACATTTGTCTTGGAAATCCGAATCTTGTTGTTTATGCCAACTGAGTGCAGAAGATTTCCAAACTGGTTTCAGGTTGGTGAAGGCGTATCTGGTCTTCCTGATTCTGGTTGGTTTTGACATCATCCGTTCCGTCTCCCTGTGATTGAGACCGTGCTTCCTTATTTTTATTATTTTATACCCTTGCGTTCCCAGTGGAACACATGGCTTCAGTCTTTTAACATTGAAGTTTCAGTAGTAGTGGGGTGATTTACGAGGGGGGAGGCGGCTAACCTCACACATCCAACCTTCGCTCTTTATCGGACTTACAACCGACTACAGAGCAGGGATGAAGGTGTATATGCCAGTCTGGAATTGAACTCCAGACCACATGCATGGTTGGCAATCATTCTACCGCTGAACCCCCAACGCAAACCTGAGTTAAGCACAGGCTTAAAATTACAACCTACTGAGGACAGATGAGAATTATAACAAATATACTGGAAGTACTACTTCTACAATAAGTCAGCTGAAATAAAATACTCAAACCACCACCTTCAAGAGATCAGGAGTGGCTTGAACAACTGTTAGAGATCCTCACTGAATGAAGCCATTTGAATTACAAAGGAAACATGGATTTCCTTTTGAGGTTTCACATAGACCTGGTATCAAGAAGTATGAGAACTACGTCCAGAAGTTCCTGCTAATTAATGCCCATCAAATATCTAATACACAAAGATTTCTGTTTCGTATTCGTTTACTACTAAAAAGACTTTAATCAACAGTTGCCATCGCCGCCTCGACAGTAAAGATCAGATGATTCGCCAGCCGGAAAGGATAAGCAACAAGGAACTCTGGCAGACGAGAAACAACCAAGAATCCATCAATCAATAAATATACACAAGAAAGTGAAAGTGACATTTGATTGGACACTAGTAATATGTGATGTGTCTAGTCTTTTCATTGGTGCAGACTGAATTCTATCAGTCAGGTTTGTAATGTGGCCATCATTTTAAGTAGCTCGCCATCACGGTGCAGCAATTGATTTGATGATATTAGATGTTGGAGACAATCGGCAGGAATTCTTGGACACTAAGACGACTGCTGAGTCATCTCACGCGCCAAACAGACCCTACAGTAGAACCCCGGTGAGGAACGACATGTTGAGCATCACTTCAAGCCTCCCATGGAGGAGATCGTCTGGAGGGGGCGGGGCAATACAAGTTTATGGGCAATCATGGAATCAGTTAAAAATAAGACTGCACAGAACACAGTGATGAAATGAAGATGTGTTTCACTCGAAAACCTAAGGAATGGCGATAACTACACAACATATAATCCGCGTACCAAGGATTTCACATCGAACAGTGCAACCAAATAGATACACATAAATAAATAAATAAAACAAGGGTAAAAAAAATAAAAAATAACATGCTTACTGAATATTCTGCATTCATTTTACTTTCTAATATTTCCATTTGTTGTTGTGCACGTTCATTTAGCTCACGTGTTTGATGTGCTTCTTGCTTTGCTAATATCCTGAATGCACGTAGAACAGCTTTACGCTTAACCCTAAGAATTAGTCATACACACACGCACAAGCAGACAAAAAAAGAAAAGAAAACATAAGAAGGATGAGATGAATGATATATATACATATATCTACAAACAATGAAAGATTATAATTCAAATGGAGATTATACACTACAGAGTACTATTAAAAAAGACATACTTTGACTGACTTTAATGCACCGGTGGCACAGCGGTAGAATGCTTGCCGACCAAGCACATGGTCCAGAGTTACATCCCTCGGCCACAGACGCACTCATTTACATCGCTAAGCCAGTAATATGACTGGTAAAGAGGGAAGGCTGGGCATGAGGCAGCTAGCAACCCTATCCCGTAAAAATAAACAACACTGCTACCGAAACTTCAAGCCTCTAGCTTGAAACCCCCTATGTCCCACTGGGAATGTAAAGGAATATAATATAATATAGATATATATATATATCAATATAATATATATATATATCAATAATAATTAACTGACTTTAGTGACTTAAGAATCGACTTGTTACCAGGGTACAGTCTTATTGACTTAGAGTTTGCGGATGATACAGTCCTCCCACCTAAGTGAAGACACTGACAAAATGCAGAATCTCCTGAACATCTTCAAATGTTCGCTCCTATCATGATCCTACAGGACTGGACTACACTGACTTGTAGCTTAAAGGTAGGCGGAAGTGAAGTGATAGAGCATGATGACCACTGAACTTATTCATTCAGGAAGTTGCATCAACACGCTAATGGACTGATTACTGATGAAATCTCAACACGGAGACAAAAGCTTCATGTAACATTCACTAACTTACGTCATTTCTAGAGTAGACCTGATATCCGGTTATCAGTTAAAGATCATGTCTACTACGTACAAGTGTGCTCTCTCCGTCATTATAGGTGTAAAAAAAATGGTTTCTGAAAGTGGGAAATACGAAAAGGCGAGCTGTCTTTGACTCCAGATGTTTACGTTTTATCTCCCGTGTTAAGTGGTATAAAGTGATGATTAATATTGAAGCAGTGAGTAGAGTACTAGGTAGTGTGATTAAATCAATTGACTGAGATGGCTAGGACAGGTTTCTGCATGCCGATCCATCACCTACTCTGACAAGAAATGTTAGCTGACATATGATTGATCAGGTTGGAAAAGAGTTAATGGTGATCAAGACAAAACTAATCAGTGTTGGTTTGTGTCACCTAGGATGGTGTAGACTGTTTTCGTCAGGATTCTCGGGATGCTAGGAACCAACAGCTGGGGACTATTGGCGATAATGTATCGAAATCCTTGTCCATGAAGTAGATACATTCACTCTGTGTGATCTCCTAAATCCCTCAAAGCCTAACCCTTTCTCCATGTTACTAGTTTTGTAACGACAGAAGACAAGGGCCAGGCAACAGATCGTTTATTGAGAAAATCAAGAGGTATTTATAGATTTTTATGTACATCATTGTTTTCTGATTGGTTATTTACCGGCTGCAGGTTATTCTCTTATCTCTTTGTAGCCGTTTCTCAGAAAATCAAGCCATATATCTGCGAATCATATTTCCACACGTTAACCCCGCTGTGAGTGGCTGGTGATTTTCTCAAGGTTAAGCTTTGTTATTGTATTTCTCATGACCCCGATTCAGCACGTAAACATTGACGTAAATTGTTGTCCACAAATTTGGCTTGCAGCCAGCTCTCACCACAGTTTTTCTCCCTCACATTTCTACCTATAAGAGTACCTCTGAACCCCGGTTTCTCTCTGCCCTTATGTGCTACATGGAACGCGGCAACTAGAACTAATGCACGTCTGTGCAAATTTCTTCGTTGAATCTCAGGTGGTCAAAGTGAAGACATCTAATAAACTTCAAGCGCTAGGATTATTATATTATTATTGTATCCTTTAATTCCTAGAGGAACATATGGCTTCAGCCGTGCGTCTGCATTGCGTTAGGTTCTCTGCTAGAGTCTTCACCTGGCTCAATGTCCGCCCACATGTTTTCATCTCCTCTTCACATGACCTCCTCCATGTCACCCTTGCACTGACTACCAACTCGCCGCTTCCCTTTCGGGTTCCACTCGAGCAATGGCCTGTCTAGTGATGTCACTTGATAGTTTCCTCAGAGTTTCACCAGTCAATCCATCTCCATTTCTTCCTGCTTATTTGTTTCACAATCGGTTCCTGCTGTGTTGGTTCGCTCATTGCCAGAGATCTCTGTTGCTGATCTTTTCTGGCCATCTGATCTTGAGTATTGAGCGAAGACAGCTGTTGATGAAGGTCTGTAGTTTGTTTGAGATGCTCTTTATGACGCGCTGGCCAAGTCTCTGATCCGTATAGTAAGTGGCACTGACTTCACATTGGAGTTGAAAATCCGGATGTTATTTTTGATGCTGAATGCTGTTGACCTCCACACAGACTTGAGAGTAGTGAAAGCTTGCTTGTCTTGCTTTCTCCGATTCTTGATTTGATATCCTCGTCAGTTCCGCCTGTAGTTGAAACGATGCTTCCCAGGTAGGTAAAAGAGGTTGTTTCTTTCAGGTTGAGCTTTGCTGATCTCGTACATGCTGCGGACATTCCATGTCCCCACACAGACTTTTTCTTTTGGTTCAAGGAGATTCATCGTGCTGAAGTTTCTGTAGCAGCTTTGTTTACAGGGTGGGGTTGCTAGCCTCACGCCTGAGAAGGGGATTGTTACATTAAATTATAATTTAGAGAGAAGCGACCTTGTGGGTTGCTCCCCTTAAAACCAGGAAAACAGGGAATAAAACAATCAGAACAACACCAGCACGGGAAAATAATTCACAACAAGAAGGGTAACAAGCGACAACAACAACAAGCGCTAGAGTTAGCTACTCATACCTTACAAATGTATACCGAACAAAAACCTTTAAGCATACGAACTGATTCATTATGGTCGGCGCAATTTTTAATTGTTCAACTTACTGTTCATCTTCATGAAATCTTCTTTCTTCTGAATTCGTGTTAACAATATGCTTAGAGGTTGTAGTGACTACTTGACCATCTATAACAAATCGACGAGTTCTTGTTCTTGTCCGATAGGCACTATTTTGACGTTTCAACTAAAATTCATAAACATGCGTAAAAAGAAGGAGAATCGATAGTAGCATGTAAAAGAATATTAAACTTAAAAAAATATTCATTCATTCAGATATCTAGAAAAAAATAAAAACATTGAGCAAAGAATATCCTTTTCGATAATTTATTTCTCTTCTGGCTCTACAATTATATATGCATATGTTTATATACATAGAATATTCTAGAATAGTAGTCAATAACAATATTAGCGTTTTTGAAATAATATCGATTTGTAAAGTAAGATCACAATGGAATTACAGTTCATTACAGATGCTTAAATTATAATAATAAAAAAATATAGTAGCGAATAGAATATCAACTAAAATTAAGGATCACTAAAACCTTGATGGGGTGCGTCGGTGGTGCAGCGGTAGAATGCTCGCCAACCACGCCTCATGTGGTCCGGGGTTCGATCCCCAGCCACAGACGCACTCCTTTACCTCGCTAAGCCAGTAATAAGACTGGTAAAGAGTCAAGGTTGGGCATGAGGTGGCTAGCAACCCCATCCTGTAAAAATAAATCCCACTGCTACCGAAACTTCAAGCCTGTAGCTTGAAGCCCTATGTTCCACTGGGAACGTAATGGAATAAAAAAAAATACCTTGATGGCCATTGGGGTAAGGAAAGCGTCTGAATCAATTTCTTTTAGATGCATAGATTAGGCTTCTTAATGTAGATTCCAATAGCCTCGGCAATATATCATAGACGAACTCTTCAGGTAAAATAAGGTTGGTTGGTATACGGTAGATGACTTTGAAAGCTGCCTTTTTATAACATCAATTTTGTGTTCTGTATCTACGAGATGAAATAGTATAGGAATATGAATGGATTTTGTTTGTCCCTTATTTGATTTTACCTCAAGAGTGTTCGTCTATTATATATTGATGAGGATGGCTGTTGGAATGTACATTAAGAAACCTAATCTATGTATCCAAAAGAAGCTGGTTCAGACGCTTTCCTCACCCCGCTGACCATCAAGGTTTCAATGATCCTTAGTTTGTTGTAGAGATTTCCTTAATTTTATTTGATATTCTATTTATTATTACATTTTTATGCATATGTTAACCTATGTATCTTTCTTGAACTGTAATTCCACTGATCTTAACGAATCGATATTATTTAAAAAGCACACCAATATTGTTAATGACAATTATTCTAGAATGTTCTATGCCGATTGTCTTTAATATAATCAAATCAATGTGCACCGTCATGGCGGACACATTGCAAACCTGACTGATAGAATTCAGTCTGCACCAAAGAAAGGACTAGACACATCACACTAGTTACTAGTGTCCAATCAAAATATATGAATATAATTGTAGTGCCGGAAGGGAAATTTATCAAAATGAGCATTCTTCTTTCGGACTTTCTTTTGTCTTCTAAATGTCTAATGGCATATTTCCGCTACTAATGATCCCCTAACTGACGTCGATTCGTGAGGTAATATCTACACCATAAAGAACCTGAGTTGTCAGTCATTTTTTTCTTCTGTAAAACAAACAAGTTGGCCATGCAAACTACTACAGCAGAAGTCCTCCTGAGGAGTAATAGTCCGAATAAACACAGAAAAGTAAACATGTAGTTTAAAAATATGCAGCAATCAAAAAATTAAAGCTTGATTTCGACTAAGATACCATATGTTCAAGTATTATTTTTGTAAGGATTTTGTTTGATTGCGTGGAGGATTTCATCATGAGCTGACATAAGTTAGAGAACCACTGGAAAACCTAGTAGTACTGGACTGCCATTTCGTCCGTTCTAGTTTGGGACTCTTCACAGTACGCACCCACCGCCAGATTTCGAACCCAGGACCTTCTGGTCACAAGGCGAGCTCGTATACCATTCAGCCACTGGGACCCGATCCAATGGTCCTTGAATTCTAAATTCTGCCAATTCACGACATAGCGCGACCATTTCACAATGTCTTCCTCGATGAGTTACTGCCTCACCTTTAACCTGCGGTACCCTACTGGTCACGGCTTCCCACTAGAACCCCAGGTTAACTGCCTGAATAGGGTCAGTCACTAGTGAGCATTAGATTAATTTTCAAGTATTGGTTTTGTGGGGAATTGTGAAGTGGTCGCGTTATGTCATGAATTGGCAGAAGTTAGAATTCAAGGACCCTTGGATCGGGTCCCAGTGGCTCAATGGTCTACGAGCTCGCCCTGTAACCAGAAGGTCCTGGGTTCGAATCCCGGTGAGTGCGTACTGATGAAGAGTCCCAAACTAGGACGAAGCAGCTGTCCAGTACTCCCAGGTTTTCCAGTGGTTCTCTAACTTATGTCAGCTCATGATGAAATCCTCCACGTAATATACCATATAACAAAAATACGTGGCAAAGTTAAACTTTAAGCACCACTACCTACCAATCAGCGAATGACCTCGAACGCACCAATCACGTGAAGGAGGCATTTTTGTGTATGGAATACACATATATTTATGGGAGAAAAGTGCATAAAAACTGTATAAAAGTGTTACAGAGGATACCTTCCTCTCACATGTGATAAAAACAGCCTTCAGTTTTAGGTTGGAGTATCAACAGAGTGTAATTCCATTGTAGGCAAAATTTATTTTGATAATACTACAGTAATATTTACTGAGCAATAAATTGTGCTCGAAACGTTGTCATCAGTAAATATTACTGTATAACACTGTGAGACTTTATCTCAAAATAAATTTTACCCACAATGGAATTATACTCTACCACCACAGTGCACAAGTTCTATTCTTATATCAACAGAGTTATTTAACCACATTCTATGCATGTAATTATTTAGGTCCTCTAACCCAAACAATAACCCTAATCTTCCCTGAACCTAACCCTAATTTGAAAATATCACTAAACTAACTGTAATATAACTCGAACCAACCCTAATGTCACCTTTATTAGGTTAACCTAACCCTAACATGTCCTTGGCCTTAAAGCGTAACTTAATCTTTCCCAAACCTAAGCTGAAACTTGTCAGATATCCCATTTAGTAGGTAACATAACACTTCGATGAGCATATTTTATTGATGATGACAACATTGTTTGCCAAGTTTCACTAACTTGCTCAGTCTGCATTTCAAGGTCAATCGTACGATCACACTCCATTGGTAATTAGTGGTGCTTAAAGTTTAACTTGGCCAAATACGTGATGGCAAAAAGAGATGGAGAAACTGTCTCATCACAACACAAAAGAGGTTTATATATAGATCAAGGCTAGACAACGGAGAGTAGGTATAAAAATAACACTGTAGGTGTATGCCAGAGCAGTGTTAAGACACAATGGACACAATGGATAAGAATGTAATTAATGAACAAATAAGGTCAAATTATCTTTATGTAATAATAATAATACTATTATTAGCAAATATTTAACATTTTCAGACTACAACTTGTAGATAACTATAAATAACATTATAATAGTAATAACATCTTTATTCTAGACAGTATTTATATATATTATTTAAATAAAGCAGGAACAACAGTGGTTTGTGCAGAATAATATGGTACCATCATTTATTTCGTCAGCTTCTCATCATCTGCTTACAGCCTAAATAAATTGTGAGGTTTACGTACCGAAAAGTTTTAACATACTTGCAAATTTTTACATGTTGTCAGTTGACAGAAAGTTCCACAGTAAGTGAACAGTACTCAGAAAATTGCGCCTATATAGTTTTTACACAGGCAGTTCAAGTTTAAACAAAATAGATGTATGCATACAATGGTAAAAGAGTTACGTAATAAAGACGAGAGGTGAGTAAGATGATGAGTAACTAATAAATTTGGTAACGATGTACTGAGTTCAAATCACGTCATAGAAACAAGAGACAAGCAATATTACAGATTTTTAAAAAAGAGAAGTGAGGTTAAAGACAAAGATTACGTAATCAGATTAGAGAATAAAGACATCCAGTTACCATGGCAAGGAAAGACTAATAACTGCTTCTTTCTGAACACATAAATCTGGTTTGAAGCGTTTGATAAAAATTGCTTCGGCAAACTTGAGGAGAATGGAGCTCCTTTGTCTATTGACAATTTTAAAGGATTTCTCGATTTTCACCTCATGACCCGTGTCGAGGAGATGCCTGGCGATGGCACTGTTTAAAGAATTTGTTCCCTTTAGACGTAAGCATTTTGGTGCATGTTCAGAAAATCGTAGATATGCCCTTCTTTCTGTCCTTCCAATGTAACTGCTCCCGCAGATGCATGTAAATTTGTATATGCAGTTGGAGTTCACATGAGAAGGATATCTATCGATCTTTGATTGCACCAAACTGAAGAACAGTTATGTCTCATGTTGTATTGGAATACGTTCCCACCCAAAATCAGGCCATTCCTCAAGTTTAGCAGGAACTTGCGAATCAAGAGCTCGTAGACATTTTTAAATACACACAAAAGTAGATAATACCCATCGGTAGAGGTCATATCTTAATCGATTCAAACAAACCGAACGAGAGAAAATATATGCAACATAGAGAGAGGGAGAGATCAAAGTTTTTGGTAACCCAATTTTTAAGCAGGCTGACACCTTATAAGAACAATGTTAAGATTGTTTACTATAAAAAGATTTAGGAGTATAACAGCAAAACTGTTCACCAAGTGAATAGTAACTGAGACCATGTTTGTATGAGCACCAAACTCAGGAATTAACCATCTTGACGCATTTTAACAGTTAGTGTTAGAAAGCTTTAGACAAACTCCAAAATACCCTGAACCTAGAGTTTCTGTGTTTGCTAGTACTATGTAGAAAGCCAACAAGGCGTATAAACAATCTCGAATAAAGTCCTAGCATATTCTAGCATATTAGAACTCCAGTTAATCAATAATGCATTCGAGAACGTTGCAGTACAATGAGCTCAGTTGGATCGTCAGTATGCCAAATAACCAATTTATGTGCTAATTCAAGTTCTGATATTTAGACTATGGGATATTGTGAGGATTTGGAATAATCTCATTTCATTTGTTAGATCTTCTCACGAAACAACATAGCCAATTAGAA